TAATTAATAATAAAGATCTGACGAGACGTAGTTTTAATCTTAACTTACCATTGTTTTCAATACTAATCGTGAATTAAATAATGCTACTTGTCTATATATTATATATAATATCCCTTTTTATATGTAGCAAGATTTGACTAGTGAAACACAATCTCGGCATATGATACAAGACTTCCATCCAAGCAAAATTTTAACAAGTGCAAATAAACAAGGGCAGAACCCAAAAAGCTGTGTGCAAAGCTGCATGCATTCGGCTTATATTATTTATATTTATCATGGAATATGATACAATTATTTTTTCTATTCACACAATATTTTGTGAGGCCTGCATTTTTTGAAGCAAAAAAAAAAAAAAATTAAGGTACGAAAAATGAATTTCTATAACATGACACAATCACTTTTCTTATAACATAATTTTTATAAAATCATATATTAATATAGGGTTATATTTATTTCATTTTATATAAGAGAAACAATTTTTCTACACATACAAAAAAGGGATGGATCCCACCACTCTTTTTTTCTCTCTCCTCTTATCTATAAGTCTCACTTATAATTTTATTTCTACAATATAAAATAATTATTTTTCTACAACATAAAAAAAGTATTTCCCATTAATATACGACTCCACATTGGAAGATTGTCGGGGAGGACTATCTTCGTTTTCATATTCATTTTTCTTTTCTTCTAAATCAAGAAAAAGTAAAGATATAAATTTATCCTAGTTTATTTAATATAAGTTACGTCCAATAAAATTTCACTATATTCACTTTACCATACTTGTTATAAAATATTCTGTTTATGGAAAAATATAAATAGGCTTAGCACCCTAAACAATAATAATTATTTATGAGTCCAAACTCAAATTACTAAAAATAAAAGTAAAAAAAGATAAATTTGAGGCCAAAATAGCTATTCATGAGTGGGACTTGTTGACTTTTTATGCATCTCTCCAAACAACAATTGTCATCTTAATACAAAATATGAGTTATACTCAACAAAAGTTAGTGGCCAAAAATAAAATAATATGTTCCATTAAAACCAAATCTACATAAATATAAATGCCAAATAATTAAAGGTGGGGAAGGTATATCCGAGGATCAAGTCCCACCATTAGTTTAAATAGATAATTAAGTGCACGGAAGTGCTACATTTAACAACTGCTTCTCTTTGATTTAATTATACGAGATATGATATATTTACAATCTATTTTCATTTATGACCTCTTACAATCATATTTTAATCATTAATTTTCATCAATCAATGATTATCATTTATTACGATTAATAATTAATTAATGAGTTTGATTTGTGAAAATAATAATCGTTAATTGACGGAAATCAACGGTTAAGATATGATTATACGAGGTTGTAAACGAAAATAGATTGTAAGTATAACCTTCCTCTAATTATTAAGTCCTAGTTTTATAATTCAATAAAGATTTTGTTACCTAATAGGTATAACTTAGTTGACAACACAGACTGAGTAGTTAGAGTAGAAAGAGAATCTGAGTTCAATTCCTACCAAATACATTTTTGGGGAGGGATTATAGCTTTAATTTTGATGAAGCTCCGACTCGAAATTAGTCCTATATCCGGCTCAAAGTGTTAAAGTTTGTGGGAATAATAATCCTAGTTTTATGATCGGTTTAAAAAAATTAAAATAAAATAAAGAATTTGCTTTGTACTTTGGTTTTCAATCCTTTTCACTTCTTGATTTTGGCTTTAATCAATTTAGTTAATGTTGTTGAAAGTTTTATAAATAGGTTTACTTCTTAACGATAAACATTATACTATAGAGCATAGAACCCATATGGGGCAGGAGGGCCCTTAGTGGGTCACTGGTCCTTTTAGATAGTTACCTAATGATGAAACAAATATATAAAATATATAAATTAAAATTAAGAGCATAAACTATACTATCTATCTCTATGATATGTTATCAACTACGTTGCTACGGTTATTAAATGATGGTAATTCAGTTGGCGCGTGAGAGTTGAACAGGTAGAATGAGAGTATGTGTTCAATTCTTCTCAGTATTATTTTTGGAAGGAATTTAAAATCTTAATCCTTAACTTGTCCTACACTCCGAATTAATCATAAGAAACTTATGGGATCACCGTGGAGATAATCTCAAAAAAAAAAAAAAAAACTCTGTTTTCATGGCGGATTTGTTGGGGTAAGTTCACTATTTATCTTTCGGAAATAATGGCTTGGAGGCTTAGGCATGCGCTGCATATTAGTGCAAGGTTCGATGTCTGATATTTCTCAATCACTCTAATAAATGCTTTCCCACTTCATCATTGATGAAGACCAGAAGAAAGGGATAGGGTTTTCGGATTACCTATATAAAGTCAAAAAGATAATTTGTAAAAGAGATTTTTTTAGTTAACTCCTCTAGAGAGAAGTTTGAGTGAAAGACATTTTTAGAGAAGTATGAGAGAACCATCATTATTGATGAAGTTTGAGAGTATTACCATTATTTGAGAGGTTTGATAGCACTTCTAATAAGTCTAGAGATGTTTGATTTCTTGTAGTCCTGCTATTTTCATAGTGAAATTTTTTCTAAAATAGTATTTCATGATTTTTACTTCACCATATTTAAAAAGGTTTTTTACGTTAAAATTATTGTGTCTTCTTCATCTCATCTTTGTTTTTGTATTTTCGCTTTTTGTAATTTTTCTACGCTGTTTGTCAGACAAGAGACTTATAAAGCCTTTTGACGGTATTAGATGACCGATGTGTAATGTGTGCCAACCGGGTAAACGCTTCCGCGTGATAGTTTAAGGGACCGTGTCCCAACTCCCAACAGTGATGAAGATTTTGGTCTAAAAGTCGCTGTAAATTGTAATTGAGTTAATCAAAACAATGACGCAAACAAGTGCAACAATTTTCCTAACATGCAAGTTGAAACATGGTGGGCTTTATATATAATGACATTTATCTACACACATTTATTACATATTATTTTGTATGTATACAATTTTTAACATTTAATCATAATTAATTTTTTTATATTTATATATCTATAATTTTTTTTATTTCATATTCTAAATATGAGATAATATATTTCATAAAAATAAGCATTTATCATTTTCCTTTATATATATGTTAGGCGGGACTGAGGAAATTCATTAGGAGAGACTATCACCAAACGGCTAAGCTAGCCAAACCTCAACAAATGGGTCTGACATCACGTCTTAACTCCAAAACCTTAAAACATTAGATCTCTGGGTCTTCTCATTTATATGGGCTTCACTTAGCCGATTATCAATTAATGTGAGACTTCATCACATTTAGATATCCCAATAATCTCTCTCCGTGTGAAACTCACATTGATATATTCACTCTCAACCTGGCACATGTACAACCCACACCTCTAGCCAATCACTAGGCTAGCCTAAGTTGAATTCGACTTTGATATCACTCTTAGGCGGGCCAGGGTAAATCCATGACGATAGATTATCACCAATGAGCTAAACTACTTCAACTATAACAAATGGGTATCACATCATATTTTAACTTAAAATCTTAAGGCATTGAGTTCATAAATCATCTCACTTATATGAATTTAACTCATTATCAATCAATATATAACTTAATGACACTATGATTAGCTTTTCAGAAAATTTCCAAACGAACAATTTCAACGAAAAATATCTAGGACTATCATGTCAATGTAAGATGTATTTCTTTTCTTTTCTTTTTGGTAAAAATGTAAGATTTATTTCGTTCGTTCATATGTTTGTCCGTCAGTTCTTGGACTGTTTAATTGGACAATGAACTAGAGATTAAGTGGTTGGTTCACTGACGTGTCTATTTTATTATTACTATAATAATAATAAATAACTTATTAGTATCATTACAAAATTGAACCAAGCTAATCTAACTTTAATCTGCTTAACTTACTTATCAAGTTGACTAAGTCGAATCAACCAAATTTTTTATGAGCCAAAAGTTAATTTAACACTGTTTTAGTTTACTCTGTCCTATTGACTATTGAGTATTGACCAATGGATTGCACTTCACTTTGATGACTCTACCAATCACGTTTAAAATTTTGTCGAAGGTTTGAACATTTTAAACAGGTCTTAATTTTTTATTTTTTATTTAGTAGCCTGAAAGTGAAAAGCCCAGAAAAAAAAACAAAAACAAAATCAAAGACGAAACAGGTCTTAATTTAGAGAGTAAACATCTTTTTTGATCCCTGACAATATCTACGAAATCTTTTTTAGTCCCTGGTAATAAAAAAAGATCAAATTGGTCTCTAAAATTATGAAAAAAAGGTCACATTAGTCCTTATGTCAATTCCTCCATCACTAACGTAGCCCTTTTTACATACTGTTAGGGACCAATTTGGACCTTTTTTATTGTCAGGGACTAAAAAGAATTTCGTAAATATTGCCAGAGACCAAAAATGGTGTTTACTCTAATTTAGATATCCCAAAAACCCTCCATTTTTTACGGGTTGGCCTTATATATTGGGTTCTATCCCCCTTGCCACCTGTAATTGACTCAGGTTTATGAGATTGCCTCTGAATTAATTTAAAAAAGTTATCCTATTTTTAATTAGCCACTATAAAATTTTGTTATATGTTATTTATATCATTTTTTTTTTTACGGTATGGAGTGCAATTCGGGACTATATTTAGTCCTTAACATTCAAATATTATATCTTTAAAAACTATTTTTAAATTTTCATCCACAATTAACTATTCCACAGGTTTATTTTTATTTTTTTTCAATTTTGCATTTTGAGTCAAATTTTGTATAATAACATTTAAAATAAAAAACAATAAAAAAAAGTTTTGAATAGATGCCCAAATATTTTCGTCAATGGAAAAAAGAATAAACCCAGAGAAGATGCATGGTGAGATAGAAATTGAGCATCAAATCACTTGATATCAGTTCTACAGATAGCAGAAAAATCTATGACTATTCTATGTTCTATGAGACATATACACATGAGTATATTTTTCAGCCTCTATAGAAGCCATTTCTTTATTGTTGAACCAAGCAATCTCGAGGTAGTTGTTGTGAGGCTGCTTGAGGAGTAGTTGGTTCATAATTCTGAACCAATTCTTCCTTGATCATGTGATTCTCTTCTATATCTATTTCATGCAACCCTGCAGCATCGAGAATATAACCCTTCACCTCTTGGAACCTCTCTTCTGATAATGAAACCTCAGCAAGAAGTTTCCATGCGTATGCTTCAGATGCTTCATCATAATCCACCCTTCTCTTTAGCACTATGTGTCCACTAATCTCCCACACTGCTGGATTCACTTGAGCTTTAAGGATCTCTTGGCTTACTTCTCCAAGTGCTTGTCTCTCCGCAAAGCACTAGTCATACAAAGAAAGCAATCAAATTAAATTTTCTGCTGAGAAGAGTAAGAAAAAAAGTTTTAAGGGACTGTCATATTATTTTGTTTGGTTAAGTACTATCAAAGCACCCTTTTCTGTGTATTAACGAAGAGAAAATGTAGGAAGAAAGCATACACAACAAATTCCTAGACACCCCACGTAAAATTAACTCAAATTTTGGCAACAAAAAACTTGGGAATGAAGAATCATATCAGATGTACCAAAAATAAATAAAAAATATCAGTTAATGATTTAGAAGCAACCTAGGTTGTATAACCATACAGTTCCTTCTGCTAATGTGAAGCTTAAGTCTGTCCAGGGGGTCAAAATTTTATTACCAAAACAATTACACTTTTCAAGAAACCAACAAATATGATAGCACACTACACAAGTGCATTAATTTTTACCAGAGGAAGATTGTTATTCGTATATTAATAATTAATCTGAGTTGCATATATGTGACTATTCGAGTTAAAAACAAGGGACCAGGCATAAGAAGTCCATGCACAACATATCATAATAAAGAATAATGACATAAGAAAGAAAATCACCTGGGGAAATAGATATATCTTCTTCCCACAGTCAGAGATGAGAACATTGAAAGGGATGTTATTATTCTGAAGAAAAACAAGGGAGTTAGCAACAGTATCAGATAGATCTCGTATGTTATTTCCACCTTCAAAAACAAGTCCTCGAACTGGATAGTTCAAGAGCTGAGAAACAGAAACTCCTTGTGGACAATGCCCCTTATCTCCTGCTATTATCTGCCTTTGAGCCTTCTCAACTGGGAAGGGTGCTGCCAGGTAATAAGCCTATACCAGAGAATGAGTTAGCTAAGACTAAAAATACAGATAATACTATAATCTGAACCGTAAGAAATCACTTAACATGTCAAGAGATTTGAGAAAAAGCATACTTGGAAGTGTAGATGATTGATAGTGGCAAAAGCACCCAAGCTATTATAACCCAATCTGAAAAAGGGATCTGCAGCTTCTTTAGCCATATTCATTGCAAGCTGGAAGCTGTCATGATCAATCCTCTGAGGTAAGCAATCAAGGACACGAGGAATCAAAAGCACATGTCCATGCTCAATTGGGCTCACCTAAAAATATGAAAATTCAATCATTTATCAACCATTATTATAAGTCCCTATGGCTCCTGTAGATTAAAAGTATATTCAAAATTTCTAAAAGCATTATCCATTATACAGTTTTGGTGAAAAATTCAAACATTTTTACTTACATTTGTTAAAAAGAAAAGTGAATGTACTTACATTTATTGCAACAACATTGGGAGATCCTGATATCTTGTCAACCTGTGCATTGGACATAAAATGACTCTTGTTGTCATCGCTCTGCTTAAACATGAACAGCACCTCTTCCTGTCCAACTTTTGTGAAATTAAACTTGCTTTCATCAAAGGCCTGAAGAACCTGATCCACTCGGAACTCAGTTGGCCGTTTCTTCATGTGGCGCCCTTCATTCAGCTGAGCAATGAATCCATGTTGCCCAAGAATGATCTTTGTCTCGCAATTGGCCACATCATACCTGAAAAGTCCCCTGTTCATTCTATCCTCCCATTGTCCAAGCAACAAATTGTGGAGAAATGATATTTCAGAAACATCCTCCGATGATTCCACAATCCCGTCTTCCACAGGAACATCCCCATCTTTCTTGAACATATAAAGTGGAAGCTTTGACACTAAAACCACAAGATCAAATATACAAATTCATAAGTAAAATTTCCACAGACACATACACACATACAATATATTCTTATTGTTAGTTGAATTTTTATAAGGTCTGACACAAACGATTAACATAATAGATAATCATAATTCAACTTTGAATCAATAAAAAATCACATTTTCTATAAAGTTAAAGCTATTGAATGGTGTAAGAATCATATATACAGGGTATGATATTCCTATACGGAATAAGAAGTCTTACATCAAATCTTCGTTATTAATTTGTTTAACGGTTCAAATATCTAATAAATTAGAATTCTTAAATATAAGTAAGATCAAGAGTGCAACTTACTCTAGTGTAAAATGATTCTCACTTATATATATATTCAATAAAACCATGTATAATTCCAACTCCCCTGTCATCTTCTCATGCAGAATGAAATGGAATTACCCAAAAGAAAAAATAAGAACTTTATGATTACCCATTATTTAATTTTGATGAAAATGGCTTTGATGCAACAAAACATGAACTGGGTATCAACAAAATAAATAATAATAATAATAATAATAACCAGGTAAGCAGCAGGAGGAAAGGCAGTTACGGCCACAGCCTAAGGAACCCTTATCAGAATCATCTTCCTGGTAATTGGAAACCACAGTGGCAACCCTCTTAATGGTCAACATCTTCAGAACTCAACAACCCCGATTGAGATTTAGAGATACAAAAAAGAAAAAAAGAAAAAAAGAAAAAAGAATGTGTGTTTGTTTGTTAGTTAGTTGTGTAACTAACAATGCAAATGACAAACAGATAGAATGAATGATATATTGGGAAAAAGGGAACCTCCACCGGCAAGGAAGAGGAGGTCGGAGGGGGAACCGCCGGCGGAAGGAAGAGCGCCCCTACCACCGTGCGTGGAAGGGGTGCGGCTAGAAAAGGAAAAAAGGGAACGGTTATTATTGTTGTTGAGGATTATGGTGTGTGGGGTTTGAATGGGGTTGCGCTTAAAGAAGGTGCCACGGTTTTTTGCGGAATAAGCCGTGGTTGTCAACTCCGTGATTCTCTCAGTGTGTCTCTGTCTGGATCCTCCTCGTTTTTCTGAAGCGGTGGTGAAGGCTTAGTTGTTACTCAATAATACTCGTGGCTTCAATCTACGTACACAATCCTACCGTTCCTCCTCCTCCTCCTCCTTCTTTATATATATATATATAGGTTTCGTAAGGTCCTTTCCTCATCCACTTTTCCTTCTAACAAACTTTTAATTTGATCCTACCTGGCAACACTCTCTGAATAGGATTCCGAAACTTTCCGTATTTCTAAATAATAACATGTATTTAAAATTGTTATTTTTATATGCAATAGTTAGTAAAAGTGAAGAAAACGTACTTCAACTGTTTTATGGATTTATTATTTTTTTATGTTATACGACATAAATTTATTTTCTAAATTTAATCTGCTACCCCTCTTTTCATAAGACATAATACTGAATAACTCCTTCAATTCTAATCCATTCCTATTAATTTTGCAATTAAAATTTCTTATACGTGCATTACTTTTCGTCTCTCTTTTCCTAATAGGTTACTCTTAAAGTGAAGTAATTATTTTCCTAATAGGTTACTCTTATATATGTATATAACTCTTACAAATTATATTATGTACTTTCGGAAATATACTAGGTTACACTAAGAATTTTCTGGAGTATGTAGTATGATTTACAAAAATTTGTAAAAAATATTTATAAATGGATTCTTATATATATATATGGGTTTGCTTTTTCTGCAGTTACTGCAGATAAGTTATCTGCAGTAAGCCAATACGACATCATTTTAGGGCAGAAATCATGGTGTTTTTGTAATTTTAATTTATTTCAGGGTTATAATAGTCTTTATATTTATAATTTTTTAATATTTCAATACCAAAACGACGTCATTTTGAGAATAAATGCAAATAATTTATCTGCATTAACTGCAGAAACATTTTTCCCTATATATATATAGGGTTTGATGTTTGTCATTTTAAATGACATAAGTTAAGTCATTTTAAGAGAGATGGACACAAAAAATAAAAATCATGGGAGAGAAAGTGAGTGCTTTTTTTTTAATTTAAATTTTAAATATTCTTGTGTCTATCTCTCTCTTAAAATGACATAACTTTATGTCATTTAAAATGATAAACAATTTTCCCATATATATATGGGATAGGTTATTCTACTTACTCTTATTTTACCTACTCCTTCAAGATCGGTCGATTACAATCTCATCCAACGAAAAAATAAACTTTTTTCTTTCTTTCTTTCTCCTCACTTCCTCCCACACCTTTCTCACTTACTCTGCGATCAAGACCGAAAATAACAAGAAAATCGAACGTAAAACACATACGACTATCAATTAAAAAACCTCACTTATTTTGCCTATTCCTAAATAAAATATCTTTAAAATTAAAGATGACAGGAGAAAGAGTAACTGAAAATAATCCATCTAATTCTATAAATCCCAAATATGAGACAATCAAATTCAAACATGCTCATATTTTCTCTTTATAACGGGACCCACTCTTTTAAGGGAGTGTGGCAGGTAATTTTTTTATGCAACAAAAGCAGAAATATTTTTTTCCAAATAATAAACTCTAATCATTGTTATAATAAATTATTCTATTCACTTATTATAATGGGACCCACTCTTTCAAGTGAGTGTGGCAGGTAATTTTTTCGTGCAACAAAAGCAGAAATATTTTTTCGTCCAACAATAGCCGGCTCAAAGAGTCGAAGCTCGTGGGGATACCGGAGGGAGCCAACTCGTCTCAAAGAGATAATTGGGTTGGGTAACTCCAAAAAAAAAGGCCTGTTTGGATGGCTTTTTATAAGTCAAAAGTTACTTTTTTCAGAAAAAAAAAAATATTTCTACTAGAAAGTCTGTTTGGACATCTATTTTTTTAAAAAATAAATCGCAAAAAAATTAAAAACTTATTTTTTTAAAACCAAACAAAAAAACCAAAAAAAATAAGTCACGTAAAAAAATGAAAGTCAAAAGTTAAATATTGTTTTCAAAAATTAATTTTTTTAAAAAAATTTAAATAACTTTAACTTTTGTAAAAAATACTTTTAAAATAAGTAAGACATAATTTTTTTTTTTGACAATCTCAACCAAACATATCTTTTTTGGAGGTTACAAGGAATTGAACACAACACCCTACACTACACTCTTAACATATCTAAACCTAAATCCTTTATATCTATTAATTTTAAATTTTTAACTAAATAATAATTATAGAGATAGGTTATATTTGTCATTTTGTTTTTCTTACGATTAAATCAAAATCAAATTCTTGAGTTGTTTTGATTTTGATTTAATTATTGAGGAAATGATATACTTGTCACAAAAAAAGTTTATAACTTTTATAATTAACTTAATCATCATTGATTTCCGTCAATCTAACGGTTATAATTTATTGAAAATTATTGGGTCGTATTTATTAATTAATTATTAATTCTCATAAATTATAACCGTTAGATTGACGAAAATCAACGATGATTAAGTTGATTGTAAAGGTGATAAATTTTTTTAGTGGTAAGAATATCTTTATCTGATTATTGATTGTAATCTCAAAATTATATTATCTATTTATTTATTTTTTTCATTTTAAACACGTGACACTGAACCTAGAGTCGCAATTGGCAAGGTCACAAATTGCAGTTGGTGATTCTTCTGGTTAGGGCTCTGCAAAAAAACTGGTTCAGTTGATTTGCCCTGACCAAGGTAGTCAAAATCAGGATTTTACCTAAATCAGAAAGGGAATAAAAAATCGTAAATCATAAAATCGTAATACAAATTGTAGATTTTACCTACACTCTAAAATTAAATTTTTATATACATATGCTTATGTATAAAAAAAATTAAGAAAAATAGACTATCTGCCACCATCCTTATACATTTGCATACAATTGTCACACTCTAAAGGTGTAACCTAATAAATCATTCAAGTTATTATCATCGGAGACATTCTGTTCTACGTGATTTTCAACTACATCATTCAAAATTGTCTTCGTCTAAACTTTCATCATGAGACAAAGTTCTTTCATTTTCCACAAATTCATTCATCTTCGGATGAAACATCAGCAATGTTATATTCAACAATATTTCTAACTTGCTTAACATCATTCCAATAGTTAAAATCGAGACTTAAGTAAAATGTCTAAATCAAGATTTTATATTGGAAATGATTTTAAGTGAAATCTAAATCGTTTTAGCAAAAATAAATCGTTAAAATCAGGATTTTAAGATTTAAATTCAGATTTTAACTACTATGGCCCTGACTCATAAATACCCTTTTTTTTGAACTGAATTTAAATATTGATTCACTTATATTTGAGTCAATTTTTGAACTGACTTGTTTTAATAATTAAGTCATTGACTCAAATTTGACCCAGACCCATTTTGTAAAAACAAAAAACAAAAAACCACGCGAAAGCAATTTGGGTATTAGGTTATGGAAATGGATCCTCTCATGTGTAATTGAACATGATCATGTCATGTGGTAGAATCTTAACTATTAATAATTAAATCAACAATGATGATGGTGTAATTTTCTATCATTATATTTTTTCTTTATTTTCCTTTATCACCATTAATTCAATAATGTATGATTATAATTGCGCGGCATAAATGGTCATGTTAATTATCACGTATGAGATATTCACTCGATTAGGTTCTCTCTTCTTCCGATCTCTCTTCGTCGTTCATTTAGTGAGTAAAAAGCTACCCTCGATTCAGATAATCTGGCATGAGAACAAACCTGTCTTAACCCTCGATTTCCACTCTCTCTCCTCCACTCTCGCCACCGCCGGCGCCGATTTCGACATTAAGGTCATTCTTTCTTTATTCTCATCGGTTAGGGTAAATCATTGTGAATTTTCCTTCAGCATCGTTGAGTTGATTGTGAAATAAAGATAACATTGAAACAACGAAGGAATGCCTCGTGATTTGTTACACTAACATGTGATTCGTCTTCTATTTTCACAGTTTTGGTCAATAAAACCAGCAGGAACACAGAAGAAGCTACCCGTAGTTACCTATCTTAGTAGCCTGTCTCACCATACTACTGCAGTGAATGTTATTCGTTTCTCTTCTTCTGGTAAGGGCATTTTATTTGTGTTTTTAAGAATTTTTTTTTTTTTTTTGTGTTTTAATCTCTATTTAACGTTTAATTATTAATTTTATTTTGTGTCTATTGCAAGATATATTTTGCGGAATGTAAGGATTTTATAGAATATGACGATCAGTGTTAGTGTCAAGAGAATTCGATGGGAGCTTGAATAGAAGGGGAATTTAAATTGTGAGAAAATTAATAATAAGATTTACTCGTTCTAAAAAGTTTAGCATTCTTGCCATTATAGATGATAAGAGTTCTTCTATGGGTGTAAGTGTAATAATATTTGATGCACAGAATGAGATTGGGGAAGAGAATACTAAGCAATGGCTTCATGAACATCCTTTTATGCTGCTAGAGTTTGTTGCTGTTACACCCTTGGTTTTACGCTTTTATGTCCAGAACTTGTTGCATTGTTGATTGTTTTTTCAATGATATTATGTATGTGCCAGAAACTTATAACCTGGCTATTTATGTCCCTTGGTTTGCTTTCTTTTTGTCCTTTCATCTCAATCATAACCTTATCACCGATCATATATTTATGGTTGAGTTCCACATCTGATCCTTGGTGTAATTAGTGAATTTAGTGTATGTGCAGGGTCACTCACGTGAAGGAAAGTTTCCATGTTGAACCAATATTTTCGTAGTTAAGAATCTGCTGGTTGAACGATTAAATTTGTTGGTGATACGATATGCATTTGTTCTGTTTGTGTTCTAAGATTAAATTATTACTGATCTCATCGGCTAAGGTATATCATGTTGGGAAACTCATTGAATCATAAAGGTGTGCATGACAACTATTTTGGTCTCTGATACTGTTTATGGAGAGAAATTTTTTATTTATGTGCTTAAGTGTTCAAGGGAAAATAACACAATTTATTACTATTCCCTACGAGAGAGAAAATGTATTTAAAAAATAATATAATTAATAAATAGTGTGTATTTAATCTGATAAAACATTCTATGATATGTGTTTTTTATAATAATATGTCAGGGAATTTTTTTTTCTTATTTCTATCCATTTGTGTTTATGGGCTACCAGTTCATTCCCTAGCACATTGATTTACCACAAAATGGCCTCTATTGTGGCAGCTTCGACGAATAGACGTGTTGCGTCACTCTAGTTGTGGCTTCATGGCACAATTCGCTATTGATGTGCTATAGCAGCCCAATAATGCGCTATTTACTGCTAGACTGCTATGAAAACTGGTTTATTTTCAGGGAAAAATTCAAAAAAAAAACCCTTTGTTTTGCTTGAATCACTTACCCTCCTATATTTTTTTAATTACTTACTGCCTATGGTTTTTTCCATCCAAACTCATTCTTAGCACCATTAGAAAATTAACTAGTCTGTCTATTTTACCCTTCATGGAAGAAGAAAATAGATTGATGAAAAAAGAAAAAATAAGACAAAATATGATAATAACTTAAAATACTTACAGAAAAAAATAAAAGTAAAAAAAAAATAGAAGAAAAAAAGTCCAAATATGTCTAAATCAAAAATAAGAAAATTGACTCAGGACAAGAAAACAAAAGATAAGATCAAATATATTAAAAAATTTATTTCTCTATTTTATTTTTTGATGATGGTGTTTTTTTTCTATGATGTTGTTACTCGTGCTGCTGTTTTTTTAATGAAGATGTTTTTAACTCTCTTTTTTCTGTCTTTGATATCTAAGGCTTCCTTCTTTTTTTATGATGGTGTTTTTTTTTATTTTTTTATTTGAAGTTGTTATATGTGTGTTATATATCTATATATCAGGTACATGCATAGGACTCTGTTACCCACTATAGTTTTTTTGGGGTTCTACCCACATTTGATAACTATGCCTGTTTTACCAAACATTATTTCTAACTATTTATGTTCTACAGGCTAGAAATAAAGGAAAAAAAAGTTTTTGGGAAAGTTATCATTCACACCCTAAGTGTCTCAGGACTCTATTGTAGTATAAATTTGTTTTGAATGAATGAATCATACAGGTTTTCCCTCTCATTCTTTATTTGGTATGGTTTTTAGGATTTCTCTCCAATTTTTGTGGGATTAAAGGCCCATGGGTTGATCCTAGCACACAGGGATTTGTGGGCCAAAACATGGGCTTTTACCTTTGTGGGCTTTTTTAGCGCTGGCCCATGTAGGCTTCGGCTTAGTGGGGGTGAGATGGTTTGTATTGACAGCTCTAGCAACCAGCTCTGTGCTACTCCATTGCTCGAGCCTCTAGACAATGGTGCTGCCTAGTAAGCATAGTCCCTCCCTCGTATATGTTTTGGCCCTTTTCAACCATGTGTCGTGTGTAATTGTGCATTGCTCCTTGACAATGGAGATATTGGTGTCATTGTAGACCAGTAGCAATATGCCAGTCTTTGTCTTTCATATTTTATTCTTATTTAGTTGCTGAAATTATACGGCTTATTTTAATTTTGGAAGATTGCTTAATAAAAATGGGGGAAAACACACACACTCAGTCTTATTGCCTCTGATTTCCATTTTTGCTCTTGAATTTTATGTGCTTTGTTTGTTATGTGTTCAATCTGTATTAGCAGTGTCATTTGTTGTATTATGAAGAAATTCAATTCTGTAATTGTCTGTTTGTATTGACTTTGTTGCAGTAGTTAAGGAGAGGTTTTCGTTCTTTTTGTAGTTGCCGCCGTTGCTCTCACTCTCTGGTTCCTTGCAGATGAAAATGTATGCCTCTGCTTTTTCCTTCTTCTTTTTTCAAAATGAATACGCATATTTCAAATGAATCTTTCTCTATTGTGATATAGTTGATGTTTAATGATGTTGTCATAGCTTAGAGGCCAATGCTGGTGTGCTCACGAATTTCGAGGTCCTTGATTTCTTACGAGCTAAAGGAGCTTCAGAAGATCCAAATAGAGTTATTGCCAAAGTAGCACAGTCTGAATACAAGGTTAGGTTTGTTATTCTACTGAGATGATAACCCATTTTTTTATAGGTATTTTCAGTTTTTGATAGTTGGTAATACTATTAAGTTTTTTTGGTAGATGACTGTGGTGCATCTCTAACAGGTTTATGATTATCTGGTTAACACTGCTGCCGCTGATCTAACAAGAGAGAACATCAACGAGTTCTTGACAGGTGTTAAACAGCATGACCTGGCAAAAGCTGAGATTCTGAACATATTGAACATTAGGCCAGTTGCTTCCGTTGGAATATACCCTGTAAGTATCAAAATTATGTTTTTCTTTTTATTTCCCTCCTTAGTTGGGGTTTAATGAGTATTTAGTTAGATGTTGTCTTAGTTCTGCATTTTTTTCCTCTTTTATCAGTCTTTAGCTTTGAAGCATTGGGTTTGGAACTGTGGTAAACTGGTTACTGTAACATATAAGCAACAAAAAAATTTCTTAGAATTAATAGGTATTATAGCATAATTCCTATTTTTTTAATTACTAAAAAAATTATGTTGCTCTGAATTTATCAAAATACAGTTAATATATAAGAAACTGTTATAGGTAGGATCAACAAGTTTGGATACATAATACCTTCATTTTTAAGAACTTTTAATGGGAAAAAAAAGAAAAAGTAATTGGTTGTCCCTCAATTCATAACTCAAGGCTTTTAACCAATTCAATTTTGAATTGTTTACTACCCATTTATATTTGTTGTCAATTCTTGAATTGCTTTTTAAGGGAGTCCAGATATGATATCTCAGTTGAAAGCATTTAGACAATTATGCTTTACTTTTACTTTCTCAGGTCCAAAGAAGTGGATTAACTTGTATATACACACCTGTAGAAGCAAAATTTAGTTAGCATAGGTGATGACCAAATCTTCAAGAAGCAATAACCAATCTATGAAGTTTTTCAGTTTCTTTTATTGTGCCACCTTCTTGAACTTTTGCTTACCACAAGCTTTGCTCATTTGACCGTAGCAAAATAAGGGGCGACCAAAATTTTCTTAACTACAAATCAATATTCAAAGCATAATTTAACCTTCCTATACACTGAGTAGGCATTGAAAAAAGCTGATATCATTATAGCCTAGCTTTGTTGTTTAATCAGTTAAAAAAACTAATGGTACTTTTAGCTTACATTTTGTGCCAAAGTTACAAGAATAATTAAGCAAGTTAAACATGATTTCCTCTTATTTTTTATATATGAAAAAATAAATAATGACTTCTTTATTTGATTTTAGAATGGTCACTCTGCAATCTCTGCTGTCTGCAGTCTGCAGTCTGCACATAAGTACATTCAGACCAAGTAATCTATGGCCCTAAAAAAAGCAGTTTATGGTTGGTCTAATTGGTGGTCGACTATATTTGAGTGGATCAAAATATCCTCCATACTTGATTTCTGTTCTAAAAGCATTTAGAAGTTATGCTGCCAGGATCCCTTGCATCGTTTTCTATTTCAAACAATCTTGATTTCTTTGCCTCATGATGTTATGGTATCACCAATTTTAAGTCTTTGAATTTTATTGTTCAACACTAACTCAGAAATTATTTTCACAACTATACATTGTAATTGATTTTGTGGATAAGATCACTGATATATATGAGATGGAGCATTTGTTACTGGTTTTTAGGTTGGTCTCTTGTTTGTAACCACTAAGCAGTTTTGCTTAGAGATATCGAGAAATTTAGCCATTACTTAAAACTCTGAAGGCTTGGGCTTGGGCTTGGGCTTGGGCCATTGGGGATAACGACTTTTGTAGACGTGTTCATAATTTTTCTGCAAATTCTGCTGTATTTTGCTTAATCAATCTTGGTATCTTACAGCTCTTAGAGATTGCCATTCTTCATGAGCAATATGGGCTGTTAACTATCTTCATATTTGCGTTCTAGAGTGACTTAGGCTGATTATCATTCTTTTTTGTAAAATGTGCATTTGGGGTATGTCAATTCCTTATTGGTTGTGTTTGTCTTGGACTTGTATATGGAGGCCGGGATCGTCAGGTTTGCGAATCTGCAATGTTACCTACTATTTATGTAAAAATAGCTGTGCATGAATTATGTTGTAAGTTGTAACAGTCCTCTAAAACATATCATTCCTTGCAATTATTGTAAATTATCATATTATTAGAAAAGATTATTAGTATCATAGATTAATAGACGCTATTTCAGACAAAAACAGTTCTGTAATTCAATTCAGAAATAATGTTCTGTTCTTTTTCGTTCAAGTGATTATTAAAACCAAGATAGTAGTGTGCTTGTGTCATGTTTGATAATAATTTTCTGCTAAGAATCTTGCTATCTCTATTTCTAGATCTTGATCTCTCCGATTCTAGGTTAACCTATAAGACTTTGTGTCTATTTTAGTTTATGCTTATATAGCTGGCCTTGCGTAATTGTAATCAATTTGTTCATTTTTATTTCACAGATCTTAGAGAATTGTGAGGAACGTTTCCCAGATGAAGAGGTCACTGAAATGGTAGAGCTGGTGAAGAAAACAATGCCGCCACCGCCTGTGAAAATGAAGCCGGAAGAAATCACAAAGGGTAATGAAGAAACTGCAACAGCGAAACATGAAAAAGGTAATGAGAATAGTCAAGACCAAAATGAAGGTGGAGAACAAATGGAAACAAGTTGAGATCCTAGTTGTAACCGTAGTATGTATTTTATGAGTAGCGCAAGAGGACCTCAAGGAGTAGTTGGATAGTAATTTTATTTTATAACTTGTAGTTTTTCCCAATTTTTTAATAATATTATATTTTATTATTTGCTTTTTTTTTTTGGTACAAAATTATATCTCACTTTCCTTATGTTCTGGTCAAATTAGGTCCATTTGAAATTTTCTTCTTCACGATGTATAACAATTTCTGCAATAAAATTTTAATTTGTGCATGATGCAGAATGATAATTATTTTAGGCAATAACAATTGTTCTATTTATTTAATAAATTAAGAGTTTAATTTTTTTTTATATTATAGAAAATAATTTATGCACATTATAGTGGGGTTATGTGAGGAAAAGGAAAAGGAAAAGGAAATATGAATTCAACATATTTTATATAGTTTTTTTTTTTTTGGTACATCCATATTTTATATAGTTTTATCTTCTATAATATAAGAAATTGTAAACTCATAAATTAATTGATAAAAACTTTCAATTTTGTGATTAGGGAGTCTGAGTAATTATGAATGGGATTATTTTTACAAGGGTTCTAACAATCTAAAATTAAAAATATAAGAATAAAATATTGTTATATATATATATATATATATATATATATATATATATATATATATATATATATATATTATCCGGCATCTGATAGTCAATGGTCGCTGATTTATTAGGATTCGAATCGGGTAGATGCACATGACAGCATATATAGTTATGAAATCCCAAAGCGACCGATCCAACGGATTGACTTTGAACCCAGCTCAAATTATTTGAGACTTGTAACTACTACCGTTACATCGACAATTTTAATTTAACATGATATTTTTAATTTTATATTTATTATACATTATTATATAAATTAAATTTAACCTATTCAATTAGTGATTTGCTGGTTGATTCAATGAAATATGGTATTTTTAATTTTATATTTATTATATATTATCATATAAGTTAAATTTAATCAATTTAATGAATGACTCATTAGTTGAACCAATAATCACAATCTGCGTTTAATAATATTGGCTGCATATCTAAAATTCGAACTCGAGAATCGGGACTACTAGTTAACTTAAAATAATTCCCCATGAGTTGATTCACGTTGTTTATTGATAAAATAATCATTTTTAAAAATAATGAACATTTGAAATAAATAACGGTCTTTTCGTTAGTTTTACACTCCTAGTTGTTCTTCTAATTAATTTTCCCCATATAAATAGTGTCGAAACTATTTTATGTATCATGAGTTAAATTTATCTACATTTTGCATTCAACACAAAGAGAATTAAATTTCTGAGGTTTCTTTTCCGTTAATATTATGGTAAGAAAAAGTATAAAATGGAATAATTATTAATTGTATTTAAATCAATGTCATCCTCTGACATTACATTACATTGTCAATGATCCACTCTGAGTTTCATTAGAAATGGATTTTGCATCAAGATAAATGATATAAAAAAGAAAAACTATTGATTAGTAACTAAATGGTTAATTAATATCCTTCACATGATTTCATGTGACATAAGATAATTCACTTTATATGTCATTTTGTATTTGAAGCATATTTTTTTCATGTTGCACGAATAAAAACATAGCTCATCGCATCCATAAAAAATCATGCCATTTATTTTTAATTTGATAGGCCCCGCATGTCTTTATCTCTATAGGAGAGGATATATATAGACTTAGTAACTATTTGGATCATTTTTTATTTTTAAGCTTGTTATGGATATGAATATCATATCCCAACTACCTACTAGAATATCTGGTGAGATATGGAATCAGCAACATCTCAACAACTCCAAACAGCCAAAGGATATAAGATAAGGATCACATCCCAACAGAAGGAGGTTGAATCCTACTACGATTGGGGAATCTCAAAAGGCACAAGCCTAGGAAGATAATCCTATAAATAAGAGCCTAAGGACCCCAGGTAAACACTCAGAACTCATTTATTACTTCTGCCCACACTGTGCACACACTCACCCCTCCTATTGCTTGTGCGCAGTGATTGGGACCTCGGCTGTAAGCCTAGTATACACTTGATATACACTATCTCTGAGCGCATACCTTACGGTATAGCAATACGGTCTATCCAGGACCGAACAAAGCTAGAAGGTATTTATAAACAGAAGATACATTAAATAAGTTTTGAGAAAAGTTCTTATAATGAATTTTTTTTATAATAATAAAAAAATTCAAAAGCTCCTGGAATGAGCTCTTTTTTAAACTCTTATCAACTTTTCTTGAATTGAGTACTTTTTTTAAAAAAAAAAATTATAGAGATAAAGAGAGTATTTTCTTGAAATATGTGTTTTTAAACTAAATTTTTTACTTAATCATTAAATAAATTTATTTATTTTAGATTTAGCTTATAAATAGCTTCTAACTAAAAAAAGAAAATTCAAATCTTTCTTCAATATCACAGTTAATCTATATACTATAACTCTAATTTTTTTATTTATTATATATATATATATATAATGAATTTATATCTTATAAGAATAATAAATTTTATTTTATTATTGATGATAGATTTACCTGTTTTTAATTGCTCTAATTTACTAATCACATGATTAATTAGATTGAAGTAAAATTAAGAAAAAAAGTCTTATACATAATTTTAACGGTTAATTTTATTTGTATCTAACCTTGACAGAGATCTAAGCATTAGGTGATAAGGTTTAATTTAACACTTATTTCAGTAAATTGATCTTATGTTCGTCAATATGATCGTGAGAAGATTTTAAATATTTATGTTCATCGTCTTATCATTTTCAATTCTAATATTTTTTTCTCTGTTATTCCTATTCACCATTAATATTAGGATATTTTCATATGATATGATGATGTTAAACACATCACATTATATACTATATATAAATATAAAATGAAACTTCAACGAAAATTTTCTATGTTCATCTATGGAATTATAATAAAATGTGCCGATAATGAATGACACAACCGAGTCAAACCACTCACTTGGTAACAGTTTAACCGTGAGCGAGTGCTAGCTAGGAGCGAGTCATCATCTTCTTGAACTCTTCGAAATTGACGTTGCCGTCGCCGTCGGCGTCCACGTTGCTGATCATCCTCTTGCAATCGTTGAGGGAGCATTTCTCCCCCAACTTGCGCATCACCGCGTGCAACTCCCTCGCCGAGATCACTCCGTTCTTGTCGAGATCATACATCTCGAACGCCTCCCGGAGCTCCTCCTTGGCGTCGACGCCGCCACCGGTGCAGTGAAAGTCGCCGAACTCCTTGAGATCAATGTAGCCGTCGCCGTTCTGGTCAAGCTCCGCCATCATTCTTCTGACCTCCTCCAACGTCGTCTTGGATCCGAGCGCCGCCATCACATCCTTGAGCTCCGCGCACGAGATCTTGCCATCACCGTTCTTATCGAACTTGTCGAAGATCTTGCGCACCTCTTCGTCCATGGCGTCACTCGGAGAAACAAAAAAAAGGAGAAAGTTCAGTTTAGTTCATTTCACTTGGGTTGGTTTATGTGACACAAGGCCCTTTATATAAAGCGCGATCCACTCACGCAACGCGTTTTTTTTTTGACATTACAGGAAATCGAACCGCACACCTAATACACCCTAAACACACCTAACACCACTAGGCTATCCCTAGTGGTGCCACTCACGCAACGCGTTAATTAGGGAAAACAGAGATTATCTAAGAGGCAAACGCGTTTTTCAGTGTAGCGAAAGTGTGAAGTTTGTTGAAAGCTAAAGAAGGTAGTTATTGTCCACACGAAATTCGGACGCGTGTTCCGTTACGATTGAGTGCACGAGATATCATTGGTACGGTTAACTTTCCTTCCACATTTCGTGACTATGGTAAATGCTGGCTCCAAATACACCAAATGCTCTTGTGAAAAAACATATCTAGTGTCTGGTAAAAGATTTATTTTAGGATTGATAGAAAAGTGTAACTTAATATTGAAAAATATCATGTTTGGTTTAGGTTTTTTGAAAAAAAAAATACTAGACAAATAGGATAGATGAAGAAATGACTTTTGTGTTAATTTTTAGATGAAATTTACTATTACAGAATACCACGTGAGATGTGGTATTTTGAGATAACTGGGGAAGTGAAAAAACAGGTGCGAAGTTTCTCCCGAACATAGATTTTGCAAATTTAAATAAATTTTCCTGGAAATATTTCGGTCAACCAAATAACTTTTTTTACATTTTCCTACCAAACTCACTTTCCAAACATTTCCCTAGTAATTACATTTTCCTAGTATTCAAAAAATTTCTCCTCAACCAAACACCTCTAAGTGTATGCTTCTAAAAACTAATCATTGTTGCAATTTATCAAAGGGGTTTCTATTTGTCAATTAACATGATACAATAAAATTTTTACACACACAATATTTTATGAGGTTCATTGTTTTTGAAGAAAAAAAAGAAATAATTACGGCACGCAAAACAAATATCTATAATATTACACAATCACTTTTTTTACTGTTATAAAAACCCTTTATCAAAACATTGAATGTTTAGTGTAGGATATAAAATTGGCGGTGATTATTAATGGTATAGTAGGAGTTGGAACTTTATGAGTAGGTCCCTGTTGTTCTAGAAGTGAATTGTATCATCCACATGGTCACATTGAATTGTCGTATTCTTTAGCTTTCTTTGTCACGAGTCAGGATATCGTACATGATCGGTAAAGCTTTTTTTATAAAGGAAAATATACATTTTCTTTTGGAACATTGATCGTACTCTTCTTTTATAAGAATAATATACCTAAATCTCACACCTTTAAAAGTATACTATTGTCACGGCGACATAGTTGCTGAGGTACTCAATTATATGGACCGGACACGTGGCACTTTCTTAGTAGTTGGAAAAATCTAGGAGATCTGATTGTCCAAAGTAGCTACCTTACGTAGCAACTTTGGATTGGGTAAGAAAACCCCTCTCTCTCCTTTTACTCGGCGAATGTATTTTTATTTTTATTTTTGTGGGTTTTGGTTGGCTCGATTTTTGGGATTCTAGGAAGAATTTTTTATCTTTTCATTTTTTGAAATTTATGAAAGATCAAAAAGAATACACACACTCATTTGATCAAAATAGCCATAATATGCAGCGACTATGGTATACATTTTCAGATGATTCAAAGTCGCTAGGTAAGGAAGCTAATTTAGCCTATTATGCAAAAATCTTGCAAAACCAAAGTAGCTAACATAGGTAGCAACTTTGGTCTTATAAAGCAACTCACGACCATACCAAAATTGTTTAGTCATGTCTGTATTGTTTTTTTACTTTTCCATTTTTTTACATTAATTTAAAATAAAAAATAAAATATTAAGTATTCTATAGTTTACCGTAACTAATACTCTGGGAAAGAAAAATAATTCATATCAAATAACGTATGGTTTAATCCTATACTAAGAGAAAAAAAACATATAAAAAATATAAATATCATTTATCCTAATATTTCAAGTATCCAAAAATAATTACAATTAAATTAAATATATACAACACAAATATTGAATAAAATATTAAAATCCATTTATAAAACTAATTCATTTAAGAAAAATAATTCATATTGATTAAAGGTCTGGTTGGACCGGACATGTGCCACTCCCCCGATGGCTGAAATTATTTTAGAATTATTAAGTATCGTATAGTTTACCGTAACTATATTTGGGTATATATATTTAATTGTTTAATATTTTAGAATTATTCAATATGAATTATTTTTCTTAAATGAATTAGTTTTATAAATGAATTTTAATATTTTATTCAATATTTGTGTTGTATATATTTATTTTAATTGTAATTATTTTTAGGTAGCTGAAATATTAGGATAAATGATATTTAAATTTTTTATATTTTATTTTTTCTCTTAGTATAGGATTAAACCATAAGTTATTTGGTATGAATTATTTTTCTTACTCAGCGTATTAGTTACGGTAAACTATAGGATACTTAATATTATATTTTTTATTTTAAATTAATGTAAAAAAATGGAAAAGTAAAAAAATAACACAAACATGTACATGACGGAATGAAAATATAAGACCAAAGTAGCTACTTATGTTAGCTACTTTGGTCCTCAAAATTTCTACACCATATTTAGGAGGTCAAATTAGCTTCCTTACCCAGCGACTTTGAATCATCAGAAAAAGCATACCAAAGTCGCTGAGTATCATGGCTACTTTGATCAAATAAGTGACAAGTGTCTTACCTAATCCAAAGTCATTACATAAGGTAGCTACTTTAGACAACCAGACCTCCTAGCCTTTTCCAGCCACTGGGGAAGTGCCATGTGACCGATTCATAGTAGCCGAGTACCTCAGCGACTATGGTGTCGTGCAGTGTGGTATATTTTTTCAAAAGTGTGGCATTCACGCATACAAAATGAACAATACGGTCAATGTTCCTTTTCTTTTTTCCTGATGCGATGGGACTATGCTGCTCCAAGAAGTTTAACTTGATTTCCATATAATAAGGGTGAGAAATCATTTTCTCATGTAACAGGAGATAGTTTTATCATGTTGTGAGACATTGAAATTCGTGTTATCCTTTTTGTTTTTTATTCTTTTTTAAGAAGTGATGGGCCCACCACTTGTGTCTATGACATAAGAGATGATATCTCGTGTGACATGAGAAAAGAGAAACCCAATAAGAGTTTAACCAAAGCTGCAATTTGTGGTAGTCATGCAAAAACAAAATGTATCCCATAAATCCATATTTGTTAAGTTGTACAATATTCTTTCACATACACATTTCACAATTTTCAGTTACTCAAAATCATTTCATTGCAATAACTAGTAGTTTGTATGTTTCTAATTTATAGTTTTATACAATATTAACTCGCTGTATGGATCTCAACCATCATTTTGATTGATGACCAGTAAAAAAAAAAAAAAGTTGGGACTGACTACATACGATTGAGCCTGGTTGGCCTAGTTCAAATGGTGCCTTAAAATTACCATGTTTGGTATAAGAAAAAATAAAATAATCTAGGAATATTTTTTTCCCATAAATTTCTTTTTCTACTATATATTGTTAAAAAACTTTTCGCTCTCACATATGGTATTCTTTTTTTCTTAGTAAGAGACAAAAGCATTTTAACACTTATTAGACTAAAATGCCCTTAACAATATTCAAAATGATGGGTATTTTGGTCATTTTAGTTCATATTTCTATCAATATTTTATCATCAACCAAACATAACGTTAGTAAAATCAACTCAACTTTCCTGGTAAAATTTTGGCCTACCAAACACTTTTTCGTAACTTATCTGGGGAAAAATATTTCTCACTATACCCTTGGAAATATTTTTTTCTCGGTGAAAAAAATATCTCTTATACCAAACGCCCCCTAAGTGAGACTACAACGGGTGGCGGACCCAGAAATTTTTATAGAGGGGGGCAAATTATTTTTTTTATATTATTAAGAAAAGTACATACAATCATATATGAACGTAAGGGAAGGATATTGTAACAACCAAATAGTGTTACTACCAATCAATTTTACCGTTAGATCGATTATGTTGATCTAACGATTATATTTATTTCCATCTAATAGTTATTATTCCCCATATTTAAAGTGAAAACATTAAATATGAAAAATCATAACCATACAAAGGTGAAAATAAATATAAAATATTAAATATGAAGAGTCATAACCATGCAAAGATGGAAATGAATCTAACCATTTGATCAACATAATCGATCTAACAGTGAAATTGATTGGTAATAACACTACTTGGTTGTTACAATATCTTAACCCATGAACCTAATATAAAAAGTTTGAAAGAGTTTTATTACAAAATTTAAGGTCAATTCACTTAACTCTTGCTCTAAGTTTTTTCATATTATTAAACTCTTCTATAATTGAATCGGTGCTAAAATTCAAAACAATTTCTTTTTCAACATATGTAATAGTAGAAATCATCAAGAAATTGGTTTTCCATTCAATTTTAAAGTCTGGTCTTGATTATCTTCCATTCGACAATGGATGCGGGCTCTTTTCCTTTTCCAATGTTTAGCTCAAAATATTGGAACCCCTGTTTGTGTGTTTTGCTATTGACTTCTTTGACAATGATTTTCACCACCTTCTTGATAATCAAGTGTGCCTGATTTTGAAATTTTTTCTTGAGCCCTAAAAGTTTGCTCCTTCCTTTGTAAAAAACTACAATTTCAATTTCTAAAGTTGTGTTTGTTTAAGTTTTTTTGAAATTTTCAGCCTAATTACTTAATTTTTTTAGTCCAAAATTATTATTTTTTTCAGCCCAAAATTATATATATATAGTAAAAAAAAAATTCTAAAAATCAGGAGAGGCCTAGCCCCTCCCCTGGGTCCACCTCTGGTGACGCGCGATGGTTGCACTGGTGCTAGATAAATTTGCTTGTCTAGGACAGATGGAGAAGGTATCTGCAAAATAATATGATGCTCGAGTTAGTGTTTGAATAAATAAGTTTAAGTAATATTGGAGAAGATGATTATACCTAGACTTTGAGTCTTTCTTATATATTAGCTACATAATCTACTTGTACTGTCTTAATATGATGGGATTCACTTTCATTTGTGGATTGAGGTGACTTTGTCAACCTATTCTATTTGCGGAGTGTCTGATTGTGAACTATGATATATAGGCTTAACGGGAGCCTTGTGCATGGAGGGAGTTATGTGCTACCGTCAGTCGAGTTGCTTATCTGCAGGATTACTTGTTTATTGGAGTGTAACCTTTATCCCACTTAATATAAGTCGAAATCAATTGATGATATAGCGACATTGCCATCTCTGAAGATGCATCAGAGAGTCACAATAAAATAAATATAATTATAGTAGTCATCAGAGAGTCACAATAAAATAAATATAATTATAGTAGTGAGATCTTTGGAAGGCTTATGTATAATACTGGCAACTAGGAGTGGTAAACAAATCAGGAGCCTTTCAGGGATCTCTGACTCAGTTCGTGAAGGCCTGAGCTTACATGTCTAAAATTGGTTGTTGGAAACAAGCTTAGACTTGTATAAAAGCTCGTTTAATAAAAAGGCCTCTCAAGCTCCAATTCAAAAGTTCGGCCTTAGATCCAGGCTGGCATATTAAATTTTATTTTTATTTTATATTTTTTATACTTGTAATAGTCTCTCTTCTCAATCCATTTTATTGGTTAAACAGACTTTTTGAATGATTTTGTTCTATATTATACTGTTTGGATATACATTGAATTTATGAATATTTATGGAATTACTAGTACTGTTAATTGTATATTCTGTTTGGATAAATTTTTGTTATCTTATTTTTTTTAAATAGTCTAAACCAGACTTTCATTTTTTGTAAATAAGCCAAGCCACAAACCAATAATTATATTTATAACAGGTAACAGGCTTGGTTAGGCTGACTTGGTTAGGTCGACACATTTAAATACAAACTTAACCTTTTAATGTTAAAGTTCGACTCGGCAGTTAACACCCCTACTTGCAACCATTTACGGCTTCAGTAACATTTTTTGGGGTGGGTTAGTTTAACATTCTTAGATTTTAATCTTAGAAACTGTGGAGTGTGTTAGATTGAGCAAAAACATATCCCTTGCCAAGCCTATATATCCCAAATTGTAGGAAATAAATTTTGGGGTGTGAGGGAAACACTTTGCCTTCTTTGCTTCTTTTTTTTTTCTCTTTCCCTTCTTTTCCCTTCCTTACCCACGTCCAAACAATGGCAAATGATTTAATTTTATTTTACAAAATTTAATTAAAGAGGGACATGGGGAGGACAGCCACTCTGTAATTGAAACCTATCGCTTCCGGGAAGTACCGTCATGTGTATTGCTGTTGGATGCAGTTTGTATATAATAATGTTTAGTGATTAGGATGTGGGTAAGTTGTCTATGACTCTATTCTAATTTAATTTAAATTTTTTTTTTTAAAGATTTTTTTATTGATTCATCGATTACTCAATTAATCCGATAACGATAAAAAAAATTATTAAATTTTTAACATATATCCATATCCCGAAACTCAATTTTATTATGCCCAATTTTTAGTCTAATATTTGGAAGAAATATACATAATGACTGGTCAAACTAAGGTTTAATTGATATACACATCAGTCTTCTTTTGGTGATTATGGGTTTTTTTTTCCCATGGTAATATGATGTTACATCAGGTTTTCAGACATAATAGGATAAAAACAATCCTTTTAAGAGGGTCCATGCATGTAGGCCTGTAGGGGTCTACGACATCTCAAATAACAAATTGACCCAATTTGGTAAAACAATTTCAACCATTGCTCTTAAAGTCTATGTACCTCCATTCCTTTTCTTAAACATAGACCATGGAAGATTTTAAATTTAACCAAGTTTAGTAAAACAATTGTGAACTACGTTATTTTGGTGACTAGGTCTTATTGTCAACAAAAAGGAAAACTCCAATACTAAAGATGGCATTAACTTAAGGGCATCCAAACTGTTTAAAAGCCAAGATCTTAGGCCTTTGACCTCTAGATCTCAATTTAGTGCAACACCAAAACCAGAAGAAACTCATTCTCATACATACAAACATTCTACAATGGCTGATGATCCACAAGATGTAGCTGACAGGGATCGCATTTTCAAGAGTTTTGATGCCAATGGTGATGGCAAAATCTCTTCACAAGAGCTTGGTGATGCACTGAAAACACTTGGATCAGTGACACCTGAAGAAGTGCAACAGATGATAGCCGAGATTGATGCAGATGGGGATGGCTTCATTTCATACGAGGAGTTCACAGATTTTGCAAGAGCCAACCGTGGCCTAGTGAAGGATGTTGCCAAGATTTTTTGAGTTCTTGCCTTCATTCTACTTTTCAGTTTTATTCTTTCTTTTTTTACTGTCAAAAATTACAACAGCAAATGATCATTGTGTGTGTGCATCATTTCTATATCTATGACAATGATAGCTTCTATGGTATTTTGTTTTAGGATTTAATGTTTCTCATATCATAAGAGATAAAATAATTTTCTACACACACATAAAAGTATGTGGAGTCCATATGAAATCATGTGAGGAAAAGAGAAAACATGAACTCCACACACTTTTACGAGAAACATTAAACCCTTGTTTTATTAGTTGTATGGTTTACTTCACATGTGCATTATTATAAAGCAAGGCCCTTGACCTTGACCTAAGGTAGCTGAGATGCTCTAATCTCAAATGGGACCTGCTTTGAAACAAATGCAACAGTAATTATGTATCATCAAAATCTTAAGATGTATCTAGACACAACACATCTTTTAATATAGGATAATGTTATATAAAGAAGAGATAATAAATGTACAAAGCTATATTATCAAACTACATGTGCATTAGTAAAAAAAATAAACAAAAATTAATGATACTGCAGATGCTCAAAATAAATTATTAATATAAAAAAAACTTGTCACTATTACTTCTGTGTAGGTGTTTTTTTTTTTTGGCCATTGTGGATTGGTAGAAGAAACGTAGAAGAGGGGGTCTTCTCAAATATGGCAATTTACACATGACCATTCAAGTTATAATCTGAATGTCTATTCCTCCACCTCCCTAATGCTCTTCATAGAAATGAAAGCTATCACCCCATCCCACCTAAAACATGGACGCTAGTGAGCCAAGAACTCAGGAGGATCAGATAAAAATCATATAATATAAATATAGTTTTCCAACATGAATTGAACATGAACCACACAATGAATGAAAATCTATTACACTTTACCCTTTGAGAAAAGGGAAAGGTAAATGGAAAATATCTACACACAAACAATCCTCGTCTGAGCTCCTATTTCTATTTACAATTTCAACTCGCTCACAACTAATCCTTTAGCACTCTAGTGATAATCATGGCAAAAAGTAAAAAGTTATTTCCTGGTTGTCATCATGTTTTAGCGACCATAGAGATAATCATCATCCTCAAACTCCGAAACTCCAAGCATTGCCAAAGCCAAGTGACTTTTCATCTCATTGTTGGTTTGTTGTAACTGAGAATAACAATCAATCACGCATCCATTCCCAAGAAAACTGGATTTCTTTCTTTTAGAGAAAACCGGTTCTTCTTCGCCTTTCAGTATTGCAATAATCTCATATATGCCAGGTCTTCGAGATTCTTCATTTGTAACACAAGCAGCTGCTGCTTCAATCATTCGACCCATTTGATTAGAGAATCTCAAACTGCACTTGAGTTGAGGATCAAGCAACTCTTCAATGGCTCCTTTCCCTTTCTGTAGAAAAGGTTTAGCCTGCAAATGAATATGAGATTGAGGATGCATCGACAAGACCATGTCATTTGATATTACTGTTCTTAAATGCAGCGCTCAAATTACCAGCACAAATGCGGTCATAAATGCCAAACTTTGGCGGAAGTTTTCTACTATAAAGGAAAAGACATAATTCACAATGGATACTGCAATGCACATAATTAAACTCTGCTAATTTTATTTATCCATACAAAAAGAAAGTTCTCAGTTAAATTCAAAAAGCGTAGTACATTGACACTTGCTAAACATGACTCTAATCTTGGTGGAGTGAGTGATTCAAAATCATCCACAACCTTCATTATTCTGACTGACTTTTATAGAATTTTAGAGAACTCATCAATATTTTTCCAAGAAGAAATCACTACATCACACTATTAATTTTCCATACAATAAAAATATAACATCTGTATAAACTATCAAGATACATTAGAAATCTAACTGTCATACTTTCAGCTACATCGAGTAATTTTGATCATAGAACAAGATAAACAGCTAGGCTATCAAATTGTTCTGTGATATAGAAGCTATAAATCAAGGTGAAATCAATAATATTGCTATAATGTACTATCAAGAAGGAGAAGATTATGCTTAGAGTGTTTTGGTTATTATCAACCACAATCCATAAAAGGAATAAATTCGACCATCATATTATCAGGAATTAAGGCAACTTTGCAAGAATTAAAGCTTTAACTCACCCATAAGACCAAGTTCTCCTCTCCTGGAAGCCTTCTTGCTTCGATTGGCTTACGGCCAGTAATGAGTTCCAATAAAACCACACCAAAAGCATAAACATCAGTCTTATCTGATACTTTCCCGTGTTGGAAATACTCAGGAGCCAAATATCTGTTGGGAAAGTGGAGGTATATAAGATTTTATTTCAGTAACTATAATATCAAAAGAAATAATAAAAAAAGATCAAAATTTTGCAGAATCAATACACAGGGCTTAAGTTTGTACCCAAATGTTCCTTTGACAGTTTTGCAAAGGAAAGGAACTGAAGGTGCAGAAGTCCATGTAGCTAATCCGAAATCACATAGCTACAATTTAACAAAAACAATCAGAATGTCTTGCACGGGTTGCTTATAAGACAGTTTCCACAATACTAAACTACTAGTCTACAATTGATTCACAAGAAAAACATCTCACTTTGGGAGTCTTCTTAGAAGAAAGCAGAATGTTTGAGGGCTTAATGTCTCTGTGAACAACACATCTTTCAGTTCCACTATGCAGATAAGCCAAAGCTTCTGCAATCCCAATTGCAACTTTGTACCTCACAGACCATGGAAGTGGTGAACTACCCTTCACATCCTTCTTCCTCCCTGTAAAATAGGCATGCTAGAATCAGTTGAATTCATCAATTTCAAATTCAAATTCATAACCCAATAAAACATGAGCCAAGGAAAATCTGAGAAGTGAATACCATGCAAGTGGCGCTCCAAGCTGCCTCCTGAGACATACTTGTACACCAAAAACAAACCTTCCTCCGAGTCAATACAAAAGCCCACAAGGGGAACAACATTTGGGCTATGAAGAGAACTTGCAATCATCAATTCTCTACAAAAGGCCTTGGCAGATTCCTTGTCTTCCTTGTCCAACTGTTTAATTGCTACAGCAGTCCTCAAAACTCCAACTCTTCCCCTAAAAACACAGCTCAATGCCCCTCTCCCCAACACTCTACCTATCCATCCCATAACAAAAGAATAAATCATGATCTCACATAAAGGAACCAACTTTGATTAAAACAATAACACAGCACAAAAAAAAAAAAGTTACCTTTGGAGAAATTCCGAGTAGCAGAAAGAATTTCACCATAGCTGAACCTGGTCAAAGAGTGAGCAACAGGGGATATGGTCTTTTCCAATGACTCCATTCTCCTCCATTTCAGTTCCCTGGAGCGAGAATCACTCACCCCATTGTCCAAATTCACCATCAAAACGGTTGCAGCAGTGGAAGAATTCATGTTCAAGGACTCCAACTCAACCTGAGAACAAAAACTGAACCTGAAAGAAGAGTGAACCGATTGAGGGTCAGCATTGGTCAATTCTGCTCCACACCCACCAGATTCTGCAAGCAACCAAGCCTTGTTGTGCTCCAAATTTGTCTTCTTGTTGACGTTGCCGTCGTTTTGGCCATTACCCAGGTTTCTCTCGGAGCTCCTCCGGCGACGGGAAGGGTCGGCAACACATGCAAAACCAAATTCCCAGATCATTTTTCTCAAAAAGGTTCTAAATTTGAGCTTGTTGTAGTCACAGGAGTGATCTGCAACTTCAGAAGAGGAAGCAGATAGAGAAGCGTTTGGGGCATTGGAAAGGTCCCTCGAATCAGTGCAGGTTCCTTGGGAGAAACCCATTATGAAGTAGATCACAACAAGAGGCACAGAAATTCACAAAACAAAAGGGTAGAGAGAGATAAAGAGGAGAGAGAGAGAGTGGGGGAACCAACCAAAAAAAAAAAACTGAAAAAGTTAAAGCTGCTTTGCTTGTGGGGTGGGAGAGAATGTTATAAAGAGGAGGAAAAAGAAGGAGGGAAGAAGAGAAGGAATGGCTGTCTATAAATAATAATTGAGATTGGATTTAAAGTAATGTTGCATCATATCAGAATGTGGGAGAAGGTGAAAAATGAAAATGCAGAATATGGGTTGGGTTGGGTTAGGAAAGAAGAGATTATTTCTGTTTTTTAAGGACTGAACTAGACAGGGAAGAGGGAACCCACAAGGCAAAATCTTTGGCCATGATTTAGTTGTTAACTTTGGTGGGGACTGTTCACTTAATGAAGAAGAATAATCTTTATCTCTCTCTATATATATTATTTTTATTATTTATTTATAATCTATTTTTCTTTATTTTTATTAGATTACAAGAAGTTAAACTTAATTACACATGGTTGAGCCTCATCCAAATAGATGTATTGATGAGTTGAAACAATAGGATCTACTCCTTGGCTATGCGGGATGATATCAGCGAGATGGAATCTTTAATGCCATTATACATGCAGGGGGTGTTTGCTTGAAGAAATTTTTTTTGAATACTAAGGAAATAGAATTGATAGGAAAATGGTAAGAAAGTGAGATAGATAGGAAAATGTAAAAAAAAGTTGTTTGGTGAGAAAAAATTTTACTGGAGAAATTAGGTAACTTTTAGAAAATGTATGTTTGGTTGGAGGTAAGATATAGATGGGAAAATAATATGAAATGACAAAAATAACCCTGACTTTAAATGTTTTGTTTCGCTTGCAAGGGTATAACAGAGTTGTCAAATCAGGGGCACACTCGTCTTTCTCATTGTCTGCTTAAGTGAGAATTTGTCTTGCTTTTTGTAAATACCACATACACGGAGGAGTTTCTTGGGCGGCTTTTTTAGCACAAAATGCTATGCATCTACGAAGACCATGCATCTACTTTAGATGGCTAAATCAGGAAGGACCCCAAACCAAACGAGCGTTTCTTAGTTTCTCACTTGTGATATGTCTATCATTCTCAACATTTACCCCAAACCAAACACCCCGGTAAGGCATTGCTGAATAAGCTTAAGTGATTATTTGGAAGTTTTTATTTTTAATTTTTCTTCTTAACATAATTCTACAAAAGTTCTTATCATAAAAAGAGCTTTTTTTTATATAATGAAAAAAAAAAGTTAAAAGCTCTAATTAAAGAGCAGCTTTTCTTAAGATGTATGTTAGCTTTTTGGATTTCTCACATTTATTTTTTAATTATACTCTTATTCTAAATTTTTTATTTATAAATTTTATCATTTACCCTAATGATTTACTCTAATAATAAAGGCTAAATTACAATTTACCCTCTTATACTTTAGTTGTGTTTTAAAATACCCTCTTGTACTTTCAATTAAACCAATTTATCTGCTTGTACTTTCAACTTTCAACAATTAACTACATCCGTTAAAATTCCATCCACTTCCGTTAGCATATCACGTGACCTAATCCATCCTTCACACCTCATCCTCAATCCATTTCTCCCAATATTGATGATATGGGTTTTCGAAGAAGACAATAAGCAAGGCAATGTCTCTAAACTTATCAATCTTCAACAGCGTCATTGCTTTCCTAATTTTCAACTCAAACCATAAAATACTTTTCTCTTCTACGTGCCTGTGAGAAATTTCTGAATAAGACCTTTGTGTGTGGGTACTCTTAACGTAGAGGCTTCGATATACGATGTTCAAACACTTATAAAAGGGATGTCGTGTGCGTACTGGAAAAGTTTGTAATTATAAAAACAAAGGTTTGAAACTATAATTAACTTATGTATAAATTCAAAGGGACGCACATCATGCAATTTGGCAACACAAAAGGAAAATTGGCACTTCTAATTCCATATATCTGTGGTATTGCTTTCCTATTGTAGATGGCACTTCCAATTCCATGTAAATTTAAATTGTTAGAGAACTTATTCACAGTTCTTATAGCAACAGTGGCTGGCCTCTGGGAAGAGAGACCTTAAAGGGTTTAAGGTTCAAGATGACTACAATTAGTGGAGAAAGATTTCAGATTGTAACATTTTATTTTGTAAACGAAAAATTTGTAGTTTATATTAGTGTGATACTCATTTGTTGAACCCAGAAAATTGTCTTGGAAGTGCTTTCTGCAATTTCTAGTATACGAAAACTTTGTAGAAGTTGTCCAAATTTACTAGTACCAGCTCAATTACTTCCATATTGGTTGCTCTGTAATGTGGGGAATTAGCAGATCCTATATTTAATGTAGCACAAGGATTGGTAACAATTGATTCCTTAGAAGTTGCTTGAAGGCTTCTACTCAACCCCACAAGGTAAACAGAATCCCCTAGATGTAATGCTGGCTTTGGACAAGAAAATGTACTAAATATGAGTCTTTCCTCAATATAGATAAATGATCGTGGAAGTACATGTGCTCTCAAAACCTCTGCCTCTCATATCATATAAATCTATAATGTATATTTTTTTTCAGACAATCTTATTTTTCTCTTAAAATGTTCCCTTATCTCTTGCTAGAGTTATTTAAGCATTTATCAATTAGAAGCTTGATCAGTTGAAATCCGAGGTACATCTAATACTTTCCCGTTTCATTATTCTAAGCCCACTCTGATTTCGTTTTTGAAAATTTTCAAGCTGAAAAATCCGTAATGTGGATACTAAATTGTATCTTTGAACTCCATGATAAACTATAAGCAATGGCCTTGACAAAGAGAGACAAATCAGATTGATTGTCCTGCATGGATTAGTGCTTGTTGATTTTCTTTGCTAAACTAATGAATGAACCGATGATATATATATAAGAGATGACATCCTAAAGTCTTACATATGCATATTGGTATGTTTGTATTTTGAAAGCAGTTGTACTAGTGGCATTGGGCTCTATCCATGATCAAAATCAAGAATTTCAGTCTTTGGATTATGGAAATATAGTGAAAAATCTCAATCATAAAGCAATTTGTTAGGACTTTACAGTACATGCTAAAGACATGAATTATTCTAATACACTGCATGCAAGTATCCATTTGCAATTGTGGGGGCTAGGATTCACACCACAAATGCAGGTAGCTGAATATGTTTTATTTCTTAAATAACTTTTATACTAATTGTGAACCTTACTAGAAATTAGACTAGTATTTGGTCAATCCAAATTTTCCTGATCTCTTTTCTAAAACTGATTTGGCAGTAGCAACAACATCAAAACATTATCAACTTGAGTGGTACAAGAAGGATTGTAAAGATAGAAACATAGGGTACTATGACAGCTTCAAGAAGATGCTCTTAAAAAAAAAAGACAGCTCCAGGCTATAGAAGAATTTACCATGACAGAAAAGCATCAATTACAGAATATGCAAAAAAAATAATATCTTAAGAAACAAGCAAATGAAAATCCTTTAATAGTATCTCATTTCCTCCAATTGATTGTTCAACCATTACAGAATATGCAAAAAAAAAAAAAATGTCTTCAGAGAACTTCATTTGTGCTCCAAGCCTTCATTGAACTGATTGGCTTCCATTTGTCACATTCACCTAAGATAATTTACAAAGTTAATTAGAAAACAAGTGGAATGCAAGCAAACAAATTAATAGCTGTAAAAATATATGAGAATTGTATAACCTGTGTACTTGGTCCATTAGTTCCCCCACCTCTTCTTTGAGGTTGTTTTTTATTCCTTATTCTTCGGTCAGAATTTAGCGCGCCTTTACAACTGCGAGCATTATGGACCCATGCACCACAATTACCACACTTAAGAGATTGACCTTTTCTGCTAACTCGGTAAGGGTTTATTGGCTCATCAGCAGCCTTTTTCCTAGCTTTCTTTGGTCTCCCAGGCGCATTCTTATATTTTGGTGGAAATAGTGGTGTTTGGTTTGTTTCAGGCCAATGTTCTTCACTTGGTATGGGGTGAATAATATGAGCATAAGCCTTTTCGAACGTATCCTTAAAGTAATAAGGATCCACAAAGTCTTCTGGAATCAAATGCATCCTATATATACTTGCCACAACATGTGCACAAGGTATCCCAGTAAGATCCCATTGCTTACAATCACATTTTTTCTCACTAAGATGAACTACTCTTCGAGTTTGCCATGCATTCTCTACCTCGAATCTGTCATCTCCAGCCCAATAAACGATCCACTCTGTTGACTGCTTTTTGGGCTTTTCTAACTTTGTTTGTATACGCGGACAAATTGGACCTGTATATTGTCTCATCCCTTCCTTCTTTGCAATGAATCTTTTCATTAGCATTCTTCTTATGGTTTCACACATTGTGAGGATTGGTTTATCTCTTGCCTCCAAGATAAACGAATTAAATGTTTCAGCAATGTTATTTTGCAATATATCACACCTAGTTCGTGGATTAAATGCATGCCTGCTCCATGATGATGCTTCAATATCTCTTAACCATTTTTCAGCAGATGAGTCAAGAGTCTTAATATTTCTCATGTGCTTCTCAAACTCGTGTATAGTAGTGGATCGTGCAACATTCCATAACTCATCTTTGAGACTTTTTCCTTTGTATTGCAATTTGAAATTGCTATATAAATGTCGAACACAGAACCTATGTTCACAATTGTATGCTTTAAGCACGTCATTCAATCCCTACAATATCAATGAAATTTAGTAAGGGTTAGTGTGTTATACACATGAGCTTAAATAACAAAAAAATCAAATGTTAAAAACTTACTTTTTGCCTATCGGACATTATCACCCAACCCTTTTCTTCAAAAGTGCCAATATCATTCAAGAGAAGTTGCATGAACCATTGCCAACTATCTCTTGTTTCAGCCTCGACAACTGCAAATGCAATAGGGTACATATTCTCATTTCCATCTTTTCCAACCGCACATAATAATTGGCCCCCAAAATGACTTTTTAAGAAGCAACCATCCACACACACAATTGGCCTACATGCATATATAAAACCCTTCTTGCACGCATCAAGGCTGATATACATCCTTTGGAAGACCATGTGCTCTGATTGGACAATAGTTGTACTACCAGGACTAAATTGTCTAATTGCAGCACAATATTTCCATACTTTGGAAAATTGCTCCAAATTAGTACCCTCGATACGATCAATGGCCATTCTTTTGGCTCTATAAGCTTTGGACTTTGACACATGCACATTATGATCTCTATGTACCTGATTGATAAAAGCGGTGTTTTTCCAATCTGGTTGATCACGAATGTTGTCCATGTACTTACTAGACAACCATGATGCACTTACTTTAGTGTTGCTTCTAACCCAACCACAATTGTGATCTTTTTTTTATAGAATGTCTTGATTTGGAATGCATCTCTCTCTTGTGTAGGTGAAGCATGTATCTTCCATCCACATTTGTTCTTACACTCTACTGTAATCCTCTTAGATTCATTGTAAATGTAAGAGAAATCGATCCCATTTTCAATACAGTACTCTTGCAATGCTTTTCTATAAACCTTAAAATTTGCAAACTTCATCCCAACCTCCAAATTAATTTTTCTTTGCATGTCGATTTTCTCATTAAACTCTGGCCATTTCGGTTTACCCCTTTCATCTTCAGAACTATCTATGCTATTCAATTCATCACTATCTACATAATTAACACCAATATTCTCCTCAACATCAATATATCTAATACCAGTCTCAAAAAATAAGTCAGGCAACTCAACGTCACTATCAGGGAAGTCACATCCATCTAAACAAATTATGGGGGACTTTTCAGGTTCACCATCAACCAGAGCACCTTCAATTTCAATTGGAACTTCTGTAATCATTGACGATTCTCCCACTACAGTGCTCATACTTGACATCTGTATAAATAATTAAACAAATTTAGAAATGTAACAAGATTATGCTTCTTTTATATGTATATTAGAGGCATTCAAGACTTAAAAAGGTAGAGACAAATTAAACCAAAAATACATATCTTCATTTAAATACTAATGCTCTAATGCTGCTAAACTACTTCACTATAGTTGTGTGATGTATATCATTTATTAAGTAAATAACGATTATAAGGAAGCTTTTTTTACTGAAGAGGAATCTATAACTCAATGTTGAAACAGTATTAACAAAACTAAAGCTTTGTCTTATGGATTGGTCTCATGGTATAAATCCATGTGTCTAATGCCATTCACAAGGCACTTTATCAACATAGCTGAAATGAGTTTCGATGATGGCATAGCTTTAAAACGAAATATAAAATTAATCAACATGACAAAATCCAACAAAAAAAAATTAAAACAGAGAAGATGTAAATAAACTGAAAATAAAAAATAAAATTTAACAAAAAAATATACCACAACATTGTACCCTACATGTTTTTAAAAAAAATTAAAAATTAAAGACTTACTAGCTTGACAATGTTACAAGGTTGCATATGTGGAGGATTGACAATAACTGCAAAGTGAGAACAAATACAACAGAGGAGACACCAATGAGAAAGAGGACGACAACTGTGAAGCACGAACAATGGAACAAAGGGAAGTGAAAACCTATTTTTATGTTGCAAAGAATATGGGAACAAGAATAGTTTTTTGTAGAGAAATGTGAAGAAAGAATAGGGACATGAATCGTTTTTCTCGTTTTGGCTTTGGAGGGAAGAAGAAATTTTATAATATAGAAGTTTTACTCACGTGATGGATTAACAGAATGGGATGGAATTTTAACAGACATGGTTAATTGGTGATTTTCTAAAGTACAAGTAGGTAAATTGTTTTAATTGAAAGTATAGGAGGGTATTTTGGCACACAACTAAAGTACAAGAGGCTAATTTGTAATTTAGCCAATAATAAATCATTTCATATCCTTCCTTTTAAAACTCTAAGAATAACTTTATTCAATTATCAAATAGCTTTTAATTTTATTTTTTAAGCTTTTTTTTTAACTTTAACTTAGAAACAGCTTTTAGCTTAAAAAAAGTGTCAAACATGCTCTAAATATATTGAAATGAGATTATCATACATGACTCAAGTCTCTCCTTTTATGATATGTAACATAACTTGTTAGTTAGTTTATTATACCACCTTAGTATGGCGGCAGGATTAACATATCTCCTGATTTGTTGGCTCGGGTGGCTTTGTCAGTCTATCTTTCATGCGAGATGCTTTTTAGTAGGCTATGTTGCTTAGGTTTAGCTAGAGGCTTGTCCCTGTCATTAGGGGTGTAAATGGGCCAGGTTGGCCCAGCCCAGCCTACATTAAGCCCAGCCTAGGCCCAGCCTTTCAGAAAAGTAGAGTAGGCTTAGGCTTATAAAAAGGCTTTTTTAATAAATAGGCCATAGGCCAATTTTGTCAAGCCCGGCCTACGGCCTTGTAGGCTGGCCTATTTAATTTATTAAAATAAAATAATAAAATAATATTTATTTTATGTGACAAAGACACAAAGTACCAAATACCAATATCTCTTACTTTTTGTGCTATTTTATTTTACGAAAGGAAAACTTGTCTAATGTCTCCAAATTTTATATGCTGTTGCAGCTTAATACCATGGAGCAATGGGTACCTTGCTGGATTATGATGTTACTGATGAAGATCTTTCAATAATGCTCTTCTTTCCCTTGTCTTGATGGTGGTTTAAAGATTTTTAGATGAATGACATTCTCTTGTAGACTTTGTTTCAGCATCCACTAATTGTATTTTTTTTATTTTTCCCATTTCTTTGACTCTATTCCTCTATGATATACATTCTAGAGCTGAGGTATTATGTTGACTCTTTCTTGTTTGTCATTTTTTTCTTATGAGAAGTACTAGTGCATGCATGAATGGAACTTTCTTTGCTCTATACAATTATTTTTTTTTGCTTAGTATATATAGTGGGAGGCCTACAAGGCCTGTAGGCCATGTCAGGCTTTCTTATTTTTGAAAATGGGCCGGGCTTGGCCTACAAATAAAGCCTTTAATAGGCCAGTAGGCCAGATAGGCTGAATTTTTTTTGACGTAGGCTTGGGCCAGGATGGCCAAAGCCCAGCCCAGCCCAGCCCATTTACACCCCTACCTGTCATTCAGTCATTGGTCATCATCGGGTTTGTCTGTCTTGTGCTTACGAGAATTTGGTTATTTCCTCGCAAGACTTCGTGTACGCATTTTCTTATGGATTAAGTTTTTATTCTAGGCCATATATTACGTTTTTGTTGGACTACATCTTCTATGTCATTTCGTATAAATTCGTATAATTTTTTTTTATGAGAAATATGTTTCTCATATTGAATGAAATAATTTTGTCTAATGTAATATGACAAATATATTTTTATTTTTTTATATATCGATTCTCTAATCTTCCGTGTCATGTATAGATTCGTATAATCACATGCTTAGTGCATTTGAGCACAACTTGTTATTAATAAGGAGAACTATGAATTAATTTATTACTAACATTCTGTTTTTCTTGTTTATCAAATATTTTTATTTATTAAAAAAGGTGGTAAAAAGTTATCTTCTTTTAATTATTTTTTTAGGTTGAAATTTCTATTCTTCTATGCTAAGTGGGAAAGAGACAAAAAATAACACAACTTGATATGGAATAGGGGGAAATAATAAAATAAGAATGGTAATAACTGGGACAAAGATTCTTGGTTGGTTCTTTGAATGGGAATTCGGAACATGGAAGCAAGATCAACAGCCTTGCACACAAATATGCCATTGGTTCTACAGTTTGGTGACCAATTAACCATCCAACGGCTCCCAACCCCGACAACCACTAATGACACCACAGTTTCGCTAGTTTTGTCCTTGTGTCAAATCTTAATTAAGTTATACAAAAAAAGAAAAAACGTAATCAAGCAAAACATTATTTCCCTTATTCCCTTATATATATCTCTTATTGGTTTTATGTGGTTTAGATTAGATCATGGATTGCATATCAAACAAGGTTTTAAATTGCAATTAATGGTATCACGTAATGTGACCGTAATTGCGTATATATATAGTTTTATATGAAGCCGTGATGTAAATTATATCAATATTAGTTCACAATGATTACAATGCAATCACAATTGCATGCAACCATAATTGCAATTTAAAATTTTGATGACACCGTACTTGTAGTTTTTTTGCACGTAACATGCATTTATTAGATTAAAAATGAATATTTCACTTTCGTAAAGGAAGAATATATCTTTATATAACTCTTGACTTGATGCTTTGCATGACTCACACGATCTTTAGATTTCGAATTTTGATTAAAAAAAAAGATTTTTTTAATCAATGGTAATGTTTGTAAAGAATCATTTCAACGCAAAATTTACACTCTAACACACCCGCTCACACAAGAGCCCTTTGAGCTTGAAGGGTGGATTATTGCATAGGCCCAATTTTTTGTTTTACTTTATGCTTATTTAATTCCACAAGTGGGAGGCGGTGAAGATCGAACTCGTGACCTTGTGGTCAAGGAAGCTCTGATACCATGTATTGAGTGAAAGCTTTTTTAATAATTTATATTACATTCTAACACATTATTTGCTTATTTTACTCCCAGATTTCAACCTGCAGATAGTTTTTCTCACAGAATTTCAGATTTAAAGTTAGCATCAAATTGGATGCTGAATTATAAAGAGATATATTTTCAAAAATAATATAAAAAATACTTACATGGGGTGAATGAGATCATATTGACGGATATGACATCTTTTTTCTTTTTGCCTTAATCATCAAAGTACAATTTCAATCCTCATAGGAGAAACAAGGGTACATTGTGAGGCCTTAGTTATGATCAGGCATTGGTTGGTCACAGAGTTTAGGGCAGTCAAAGAGTGGAAGCATGGGAGGAGTAGGACCACCCTATCATACTGAAGTTATGGCTTGACACGTGTGGCAGGTGTAGGTACCCGAATGGAACCTACCATGAATATAATTAAAAGACTAATTAGAACACCGACTTTCTGTAATTCAATAAAGTTGTTATGAGACATCACTATAATTTATTTTTATTTTTATTTTTAAAAAGACACAGCTATATGTCTTTACCCATAGATTCAATTGTGTTTTCAATTTCATAACATTAGATTGCATCAATTTAATTTTTTGAAATATTTATATTGATCGGTCATTTTTGTTTAAGTCCATCTCAATAAAGGTTAATATAAATGTAATTCTTTAGAGTTTACATATATATTAGAATATTAACTTATTGATAGCTGCTTAACATAAGAACATAAAGAAGCAAAATTGTAATTTAGAGTTGTTTAACTAACCGTATTAGTTTTAAGTTTGAGGCTAGAAATCATCCTGAGTGGCTCTCACTTTGGAGATAGGTTTGTAATTAGGTTCGAGGACCCACTCTTGAAATGTTGTGTACTTATTTTTTTTAGGTTACTGACATGTCTTAGGTTTTTCCATTACCTAAAACATTAATAATATATATTTCCTTCTTTTCTGTTTTGAGAAATTTGTTATAACTCACAAGAAAGTAGGAAAGAATCTTGTTCATGCACGTAATCTGTTGTGTGGTGTCCTTACACACTTAATAATTAAATTTAAAAAACTATTGCCTAAAATATAAAACATAACTTTCTATGTGTTTGACATAATTATAATTAAGTATTCAAAAATTATCCATAGACTCGTACGCAAATCTTTTTAAAGTACAGATGCTTCATATAAGTTAAGTTCATGGCTTCGCCCTTCACGGAAAATATGCTTAAAATGGCCAACTCCTCACACCCATCACTATGAGCACGCGAATGTCGAAAAGCAGGTTAATCACCATCAGTATCAAACTCTTCTAATTATTTCCATCAAGGAGAATACTAACACCGTGATTTTTTTGAGTTCGTTTTTTTCCGCTGTAAATGTAGATAAATTATTTGCATTGAACTTAAAATGACATTGTTTTGAGGCAAAAATAAATGTGTTTTTGTAATTATAATTTATTTCAAGATTATAATAGTCTTCATCATTATAATTTTATAATCTTCCAACCCAAAACAAAATCGTTTTGGAAGTGAATGTAGATAATTTATCTGCATTCACTAACATTAAAGCCTTCTTTTTTAGGAGGAGCGTTATTCTTATAACTTCTTTTCGCTTACAACTTCTTACCACCTATTTTTTACGGTTGAATTTTGTCAATCCAACAATTATGATTTATTAGATCATATTTATTAATTAATTATTAATTCCAATAAATTATAATCGTTGAATTGACGAAAATCAACGATGAAAAAATAAGTTGTAAAAGATTATAAGCCAAAAGAGAATGTAAGAATAATGCTCATCCTTTTTTATTATTCAATAAAATTTAATACTTATTAAACAGGGAGAGTGACCATTTTGCCATACCTTGCAAAAAAATTTACTTGACTGCCACGCCAACAGTAAATTTTGCCAAAATGTCACGCGGTATATTTCGCTACACTGTGTAGCGAAATATGTTTGCATATAATTCGCTACACAGTGTAGCAAAATATGCCATGTCAGGCTGCACAGTCAGCAAAAATGACACGTGTCAAGCATGTAGAAATTCGCTACACTGTGTAGTGAATTATGCCTGTTCGACACGTGTCATTTTTGCTAACTGTGCAGCCTGACATGGCATATTTCGCTACACTGTGTAGCGAATTATATGCAAACATATTTTGCTACACGCCGCGTGACATTTTGGCAAAATTTACTATTGGCGTGACAGTCCGATAAATGTTTTTGACAGGCGTGACAAAATAGTCACTGTTCCTATTAAACACAAGTTATTCAATACAACAAGTTTTATTAAAAGTTGGGCCGGCCCACAAATATCCAATCCCTTAGGCTAAATTCGTTCTAAATTTTTATTAAAAGTTGATATTTTTGCAAATTACCATACTAAGTAAGTATTATAAAATATTTGTTGCAAATTTTTCTCCAAAATACAGTATAAATTGACAATACACTTATAAGCTACGATGATTTTATTTTTTTGTGTTGTCTTTGACATTTAACATCTTTAATAACTACAAACCATCGTTAATCACACTTTACCCAATTGATCTAAATCTGAATTATTTGGATACAGAGGTTTAACAAATTATATGACCTCTAGCACTAGTGGTTAAGTCTTTGCGTTTGTCTTCTTACAATGAAATTAAGCCACTAATTAACTCTCCTCTTGTTTAGGTTCATATTGTCAAGCGACACCTCACACCTACCAATATATCTTACAAAGTAAACAACTTAGGTTAGGTAATGTTTCAGTTTCCTTAACCCTCTAAGATTAAGAAAATTCTGTAAATATAAAGTTAATACTACAGTATAGAAAGATAGATGTTTCAACAAACGAACTAGTACGAATCCCCCATAATAAAAAATTGCAAAACGACAGCAACATAATGGCTTACATTGACTATCAAGTCATAAGGATTAAGTAAATCGAATTTGTCAAGTTAAGAAGTAACCTTTATCTTGTACCTTATCAATGCATTCCCTCTCCAAAACCTAATAGTTTAAGAAAGTTAAATAAAGTTTGTTGGTATAATAGTTTTGAGATATCCTGGTTTTCACTTTTGATATATTCTTAGGTACTGTATAACTAAGAATTTCTCTTTCTGTGTATACAAAAAAGGGAAATGATAGTCTCATGTTACATAAGATATCTATCTCATGTCATACACTCATAGAATTTTGTGTTAATTTTTTCTTTTTAAATTGTGGACCCCACATATTTGTATCACCCACATGAGAGTACTATCTCATGTAACATGAGATTAGTAAATCCCTAAAAAAAAAAATTCTCTTTCTTTTACTTTTCTCAAGTGAGCATGGTATTCCTTCATGATATTATTAAACTGAACATTTTTTTTTTCCTTTTGGTTCTATGTACAACAATAGTATTCTCAACTCAATTTTATTTTGCGTCAATCAAAATTAAACCTCTTTTTAAATGATTTTAAATTTGTACTTCCACATCATCATAATGTATTGAAATTAATCAATTTTATTTAAGTACTGCTTCAATTTAAATTAAATAGAACTTTTAAACTACAGTTAGATATTGATTAAGTGGTCATTGTTAAACATATTAATCAATCACATTGAGTATTTCTGATAACCATCATATGTTAAAATGGCCTTTTCTCAATAATGTTGCCTAATCAAGATTTGCATCTATGTACCACTCACTAAAAGCCAATCCAATACGTATGTACGCCATAAGCAGAAATTAGGGAGTGCCATTAATAGTGTGTCAGGGTTAGGCTTTAAGACTTGATCATTAGGCTGGTGGGTCTTGAGGAACTAAATGAGCATCCATTTGAAGTATGAGCAATAAATATGCTAATAGTATTAGTACATGAATAATTATTCTACTATTTGTGCTGGGGATATATATCTTTAATACGAAGAGGTGTTGGCTCCATCATGTGATTTGCTACATGTATTTGCATATTTGCATATATAGGTTAAGAATATTCGCCCTCAACCTCACGTTCATGCAAAGTGGACTACAGGAAGCTTATGAGCCATTCAAGGAAGGGAATGCATGTGATAGCTTTTCACGAATTTCTACAGCCATTAGAAATGTTCCATTTATTCAACTTGGCTTCAATGATCAGATTGCTCTAGATAAAGGTGAGTTGTACTGACTCTTCAAATACAATGCATTATTGTATTTGAAGTGCAGTTTAAAATGCAGGGTAAACTAGTAATGCAGCATAACTCAATTGGTACTCCTTCTAATGCTTGTCAAACAGTTGTGGTTATGTGGTGAAGGTTCAATCTCTACACCTCCATTTTTCATTTCACTTCTCTAAAATTCAAAGAGACTTCTCGGTTAAAAACAAGATGCAGAATATCTATATCACTACATTTAATGTCATGCATTTTGGGCAGTACTAGGCTTTAGCTTTAGCCAACTGAACACAGTATTTGGACAGAAAAGTTAAAGCAGGACCAAGTCTTCAGTATCAGTCCATTATCAAATCATATTGGATCATTCATCAAAAACCCGTTCTCAATCAGGCAAATTGCACCCTTCAATGAAATTGTCCGGGCCTAACTCAATTTTGAGACCCTCTTACTGTTGAAGTTTAGGTATTCAAACCTCAAGAGCATGTTCCTTAGATTAGCACAAATTAGCATTTTCCAACTATACGGCCCAAGCATGTACTGCGATCGAATCCATAAAATAAGACCACTTCATCCAGGATATCAAACACCTCATAAGGTTACAAATAGTGCTATCATTTTTTAACATACAGATACCGAGATTATGATCCCAAATAGTAAACACAATTTTGCACCAATACTAGAAGCACAAGGTAATGGTGACCAACAACAATAACATTATTATAGTCAGTTCAAACCAGACATGTCACAGAATGACAAAACTCCGTCAATTTATTAAGTATAACTCAAGTTTTCAAGGAGGGTTGCCAAGATGTAAAGCCTAAATACACTTAAAAGGAGAATTTATATTTGATAAACCTTTACAACAAAGTCTAAATAAATTCTATTGAACATGAACATATACGGTCGGACTTGAAGGGCGATAATTGACACCTCAACAGGATCAATCAGTCAATGATTTACAAAAGCTACAGGTCCATAAAATCTTTGACAAAATCAATCCTCTGTATAACTCATATCTTCAAGTAGGTGAATCCCAGACCAATAAGTGCGAACTGCAAAAGTTCAAGCAGAAAGGTATAAATAGCCAACATTGATAATCTAGTTCAAATCAGAAACAGTTGACAAACACAAGCCTAGACTGGTAAATAATAAAGTTTTTTAAATCAAATGCCTGAAACAAAAACCTATATAGACTTCATCCACCTTTAACCTTCTAACGCAATGGGATCAGTTACAGTGATAATATGCAGATGTGATGCATATGCTGCTATTCAGATATACAATTTTAGCAAATCCAACCTACCTAATGAGATTTCCACTTTTTCAAAAGTTCTTCATACGCAAATTCTTTTCCTTCTTTGACAAGGCTTTGCCTCAGCTTTGACAATGTGGAAGAGGTTAACTTGATTCCTCTGCCAATCATATCCTCAGCATACTTGACCGCTTCCGGGGTCCTATTTAGATTGCGAAGTCCCACAACCAGTACATTTGCCGTATCCTCTAAATCCTCTTGGTAATTTTCCACCAGGCATCTCCAAACTTTAATCGCCATGTAAGGATCCCCTCCATCTAAGTAAATTCTAACAGCTGCATTACAATTAGGCTGATCTGGTATACACTCATTTTTTATCATCTCAGCGAACATCGTTGAAGCCTCCCTCAATTTCTTTCCCTTGATCAAGAAACGGAACAACATGTTATAACTTAGCCGATCCGGAAAAGCCCCTTTGTAAACCATCTCATCCAGCATCCTTCTGGCGGTACCAGAGTTATTGTGATAGCAATACAAAGCAATCATGGAATTGTACATCGGTGTGGTGGGTTTCAAGCCAGCTCTCCCCGCCATCACCTCCCAAAAGAACTCAGCCGTGCGGATATCATGATACTTGACACACTCATCCAATGCAACCTTTAAAAACCGCATCCCCGGGTAACATCTCCGGTCCCTCATGGAATCGAAGAACTTAATGGCTTCAAGCAAACCATCAGGTCCCTTAATCAAAGTACACAAAAATGACTCATAGGCAGGCACATTGGCAGGGTCCCAACCAATCTCAAACACCATCTCAGCAAAAGTCTCTTTAGCACCAACAACATTCCCTTCACCCTCCCACCCTTCCATCAAAATAGCATAAGTATCCGAATCCGGCCTAAGAACTTTCTTAGCAATTTGCAAATAATCACAAGCATCAACAGTCCTACCATCCCTACATATAGCACTCAAGAGGGAATTCAAAGCAAAAACATCCCTAACACAACCATAATTCTCCATCACCTCGAAAGCCATAACCGCCTCGCCGGGACGGTCGGCGGAAACATAACTACTGAAAACGGAGGCAAAGGTGGCCAATGAAAGCAACCCTTTTGCCTTCATTGACTTAATTGCATCCCACATTGCATCAAAGAACCGATTTTTACCTAACAAATCAACAACGAGGTTCCATGAATAGGGACTGTGATTGTCGTTGAGCTTCCGACCGGACCACCGGAAAAACTTAACGGCCTGACCCGGAAACCCGTATGAGAGCTTCAACACATCTTCGACCTCTTCCGGGGTGACCCGAATACCCGAATCTTCGAGGGCATTCTCCACCGTGATAGACGGAGTGTTAGAGATGATTTCGCAGAGGAATTTCACCTTCCCATCGAGTTTTGGAATGTCAAGGTAACAAGTGAAGTTGGGTCGCTTATTGGCCATTGCAATTGGAGACACCGCCGCCGCCGCGTGTGGGGTTGAAAGAGGAGGAGATTCGTAACCTCTCTTTCTACTCAAACTCATGCTTTCTTCTTCCACTTACCACCACTGCAATCTGCAACACACTCAGCAATAAACCCTAATAACAAGATCAAGCTCTCTAACGAAGAAATGAATTCTTCATTGAGACACTAATTTCTCATTTTTTTATAATGCATTTAATAAGTTTGCTATTTAAATCTAGGGATATGATATTGTGACACCCAAGTTATGTTACACCACCCAGTCAATCTCACTGTTAGATCGCTTATGTTGAGAAATCATGATCATACAAAGATGGAAATAAATATAACTGTTAGATCAACATAAGCGATCTAACGGTGAGATTGACTGGGTGTCACATGAGTGTAACATAACTTGGGTGTCACAATATCCTATCCTTTAAATCTAATATTTGGTAAGTGTGTATTATAGGTAATATATAATGGAAAAAACATCTATTCTTTTAAAGGATGTAAGTTTATATTCTTTTAGATCATAACTGTTGATTTCCGTCTATCAACGGTTATAATCTATTAGGCCAAATTTATTATTAATTAATTAATAATTTTAATCCAATAAATTATATCTGCCATGCACTATTCTTTTATATCTGCTACCATAAATGGTCATTTAATTATTCGATTTAAAGATTAAAATTCAATTTTAAAAAAAAATTCTTTTCCCACCATCCATATTTAAATTCAAAATTTTAAACAATTTCAAATTTCGAATTTCAGATCAGACGACCAATTCCAACATAAAAAGCAATTAAAACACCTGATTATTTAATTTATTTTGTCTGTCAGCTCTCTTGATTCTTGATTGTTATGATATTTGAATCAAATATATAACAAAGATAATGTCTTTGTTATATCATTATTGTGTATATATTATTTAAAAAATAATCATAACGAAATTGTGAATTGAATGACAATCAGGTATTCAACAATTGTGAAATTTGTTTTTATTTCTATTGATCTCTATGAATAGAGATCGTGAATACATGTCCGTGAAAAGAGTTTTCTTTTTATTGAATTTAAAATTTCGAATTTCAGATTGTGCAAAATAAATACATAATTTCGAAATTTAATTGATAAACCATTTAAAATTTTGAATTTCAGATGAGATGACCAATTCCAACATAAAAAGCAATTAAAACAGCTGTTTTCTTTTTGGATACCAATGTGATGGGCAGTGGGACATTAAATGCCTTGACTGCCACCACAAATGGTCATTAAATTATTCGATTTAAAGATTAAAATTCGATTTTTAAAAGATATTATTTTCTCACCATCTATATTTAAATTAAAAATTTTAAACCATTTCAAATTTCGAATTTCAGATCAGACAACCAATTCCAACATAAAAAGCAATTAAAACACCTGATTATCCAATTAAAATTTCGAATTTCAAAACCATATTTATTAATTAATTATTCTTTTATGTCTGCCACCACAAATGGTCATTTAATTATTCGATTTAAAAATTAAAATTTGATTTTTAAAAAAAATTCTTTTCCAACCATCCATATTTAAATTCAAAATTTTAAACCATTTCAAATTTCGAATTTTAGATCAGATGACCAATTTCAACATAAAAAGCAATTAAAACAGCTGATTTCTTTTTGGATACCAATGTGATGGGCAGTGGGACATTCAATGCCTTCTCTGCCACCACAAATGGTCATTAAATTATTCGATTTAAAAAATAAAAATTCGATTTTTAAAAGAAATTTTTTTCCCACCATCCATATTTAGATTCAAAATTTTAAACCATTTCAAATTTCGAATTTTAGATCAGATGACGTATTCCAACATAAAAAGCAATTAAATCAATTGATTATACAATTAAAATTTCGAATTTTGAAACTTATTAAACAGCTGATTGTACAATTACCGGCTTAACCACATATTTATCATTCCAATAAAACAATTGAAAATATTGTGGAAAATAACTAATGTCAAACAGATAAACTTGTATTCCAGAATATGCATAAACATTACTTTGTCTACAAGAACGCTCCTATTTGAAGTTAAACACGGAGGAAGTGATTACCAAAACACAGCAATAAAAAACTACAATTATATTGTTCAATCCCAAACAATCTCCAAAACAAAAAACAAAAAACTTTCAAGTGACGTTATTCCAGCTTCCAAGTGACATTGTTCCAGTTACGCGTCTTTCAGAATAGCATCAAATCTAAACAGAAACAAAAAAATAACGATGTATTAACAGACACATCACACTCACGATTATAAATAAAAAAAAGCTACACAAAGAAAAAAAATAATGGGTAAGTACTCAACACTTTATCTAGCTTAATCTTCATAGGAGGACGGACAACTCATGAATTAAAATCGTCTTGAAGGGGATCATTAGGATTCATTAACGGCGTCAGCATTGATAGGGAAATATCACCAACGTCTGCACTATCACACGTCTAACTTTCCACATCCTTGTCAGAAACAAATATTGTTTGAAATTAACTTATGTTTTGCAATAAAACTGCATGCAACATTTTTTTGATTAATTCATAAGCAATAATTTCGAGATACCGTAGCTCTTTTCGGTTCTGCTGATGCAACGACACTGTCGCAAGCCTTGTCAAATTGTGCAAAATAAATACATAATTTCGAAATTTAATTGATAAACCTTTTAAAAATTTCGAAAATTCAATTTTTAAAAGAATATTGGTATGATAGTTTATCTGATAGAGTTTTCTTTTTATTGAATTTAAAATTTCGAATTTCAGATTGTGCAAAATAAATATATAATTTCAAAATTTAATTGATAAACCATTTAAAATTTCGAAAATTCAATTTTTAAAAGAATATTGGTATGATAGTTTATCTGATATGATAGTTTTGGTTTTGGGATTTAATTTATTTTGTCTGTCAGCTTTCTTGATTCTTTTTTTTTTTTTGGAGTTACTCAACCCTAATTATCTCTTTGAGACGAGTTGGCTCCCTCCGGTATCCCCACGATCTTCGACTCTTTGAGCCGGCTATGGGACTAATCCGGAGTGCGGGGGAACAGTGATGGCTAAAGGTTCAGCCCCCTCCCCAAGAATGCATTCAGCGGGAATCGAACACATATCCAACCCTACTAACTCAGCGCCAAGTTACCAACTGAGCTGCACCCATTGGGTTCTCTTGATTCTTGATTGTTATGATATTTGAATCAAATATATAACAAAGATAATGTCTATATAACAAAGATAATGTCTTTGTTATATCATTATTGTATATATATATTTTTTTAAAATAACCATAACGAAATTGTGAATTGAATGACGATCAGGTCTTCAACAATTGTGAAATTTGTTTTTGTTTCTATTGATCTCCATGAATAGAGATCGTGAATGCATGTCTGTGAAAAGAGTTTTCTTTTTATTGAATTTAAAATTTCGAATTTCAGATTGTGCAAAATAAATACATAATTTCAAAATTTAATTGATAAACCATTTAAAATTTCGAATTTCAGATGAGATGACCAATTCCAACATAAAAAGCAATTAAAACAGGTGCTTTCTTTTTGGATACCAATGTGATGGGCAGTGAGACATTTAATGCCTTGTCTTCAACTATTATTCGATTTAAAAATTAAAATTCAATTTTTAAAAGAGTTTTTTTTTCCAATTTACCCAATAAAGAAAGTCTGTATATAACCAAATTGTAGAATTAACCAGGGAGTGACACTTGACAAAACTTTCGATCAGTGAACTCTCCTTTATATATATCTCCTTTATATATATATATATATATATATATATATATATATATATATATATATATATTACAAAAACACCTTGATTTCTGTCACAAAACGACGTCATTTTGAATTTACTGAAAATAATTTATCCCCATTGAAGATATTCTTTACCCATAAATAAAATAGCAAAAACTAGATTTCCTTGGTTGCTTTCATAGTGTAAGAAAAAGAATGTTTTTTTTTTAACATGGTTCATGTGATTTTCCTCCATCAATCAAGAATCTAAGACCAAAACCCATCATTTTCTGAAATTTTCTAAGCAACCAAGGGAAAAACATTACAATATCAAAGACTAATAAAGGTTCCATTTTTTATCTCAAATTCAAATACCCATCAACGTGAAGAAGATAAAACGAAGAAGCATACCTTGTAATAAAGCGAGGCTCTGGTTTTCTCTCTCTACTTCTAAACTATTAAACTTGCAAATATTTATAGAGAGAGATTAGAAGACTTTTCTCTGTGTTTATTATTTTTTTAAGGTTTGGGTAAGGAAAAAGTGGAACCCACCTACTGCCTCATCGATTACATTCCATATCTTCTGTACCAATTCAATTTATTATGCATTTATTACAAAAATATGTTGGAGGGAGAAAAAAAACTATTCTATTTAAATTTTCTTATAAACAAATATATATTAATAGAACAATCAATTTTTTTATTTTTCTAATCGAAAGTTTATAATTTTAAAAAATTCATCTCTATTTGCTATAATAAATATAAAATGACAGATTTTAAAACTTGATTTTTCATAACAATTTTTCTTGAAAAAAAAATCGATGATTTGGTTGCAATGATTGTTTAACAAAATAGTCTAATTTTTTTTATTGTGAGCTATGAAGCACCGACACTTCAAAAAACTTGACGTGTCATGTCTGACACTCTCCAATACTCCAACACGCGTTATAGAGACTCAAAACAAGGTTCAATGGGTGTGTTGCGTTACATTTTTAGCTCCAACTATTAGATTTGTTGGATTATGATTATTATTTTATTGAGTTTAATACAAATATTTGGGTTATCGTATGTTTCTTTGCAAAATTGATGGCTGGTGTAAGTTTAGCTTCATTTTTTTGTTAAGTTGTTGAATATTAAATATAATATACACTACATAAATTAAAAATATTATTTAATATAAAAACATATCCTAACGTGTCGAAATCTAACATTTTTTAGAATTAACGTGTCAGAATATCGTGTTGTGTCCCGTGTCTCGTGTCAGTATCGGTGCTACATAGATTGTAAGACAGGAGATTGACTCATTTATTATTGAGAAATTCTTGTAAGATTCTATTTGTATAAAATTTGTAAATTACATAAATTAATAATTACTTTTCTATGTTTATTTTGTTTTTTC